TCAAAAGTCGTCTAGCCAAGTTTTGTCTGTTCAGTATCCGCTTAATTACCCTTGCGATAAGCCAGGGTATTGCAATCGGGTACTAGACTTTTTTCTACACAAACAACTTATCCATTGGACTCATTGATCACGTGGTGGTATCTTGGTTCATCAAGAATTCAATTTTTGTTGTGTCTCTTGCACACTGAACCTGGTGGTACAGAGTACGACTGGGACGGCACAGGTCCTGGGTTCGAATATGACCGGGTCCAGTTTTTCTTTTCGAACGGTTAATATTCCGGCTCAAAAAATGTCGGTCTTTTATTTATCTTCTTATTTTTTGTCGGCTTTATAAAAGTGTTCATTAAGTGTTCCCTTATTTGTGTGCCTTTTTGCTATAATTGCGATCTGTAGCATTGGAAAATTCATGGCATCTGTTTTGTTCTGAGCTTTATTTGTGGCTAGTGTTTTTTGTTCATTGAGCGTCCGTGGCTGAGACGTTAATGCGTGAGACTCATATTCACTAGGTCGCAGAAGGTCGTAGATCGAATCCTAGACGGAGCTGCTTTTTACCGGGTTCGCACTAGTGTATACAAGCGAAGCTTCGCTTCTGTGTCTAATAATTCCGTTTTATTTTTTGGCCAGTAAAAAATTTGAAATAGACCGTAAGTACTGTTGAAGTTATTCGTACTTCTATCGCACTATGATACTAAATGAAGAACGCAGCTATTTTTTATCCATACTGTATGCACTGATCGAAATTTAGTTTATACTGTATGCATTGATAGAAGATTTTTTAATATTTAAATCAGCAGTTTTATTTCAGTAAATGGGTGTCATTTTTGTCTTTTTTGGGATTTTTTCGCTTCGATCCTTTGACTGACTTTTAAAGATATGCTCGGGCCCTTTTTTTGCAAACTCAAGTTTTTGTGCTTTTTCGGACTATTGTCCGTCTGTTTGTTTTTGTCGGCTTATCTAACGTAGCTCGATGGTTCAGCTTCATTCCAAAATTTTGTAACCCCCTTGATTGAGACGACAAAGCCCGGGAGTTCGATTCTAGTTGAGAAAAACTTGTTTTTTTTTGCAACTAGAAAATTTTGGCTAATTTAGATTATTGTGTCTGTCTGCTTATTTTTGTCTGCTTGGTTCGGCAGAAAGATCTTTTTTGAACACTTGGCTTCGTTATAGCATTACCTGAGCTCTATGTAAAGTTTTTAATGGTGCAGGCAATTTTGTTCTGGGGATTTTGGTTTTTGTCCAATTTTATTGAGAAAAACGTTTTTTTTAAGTTGTTTCCTTTTTCCGTTTGATTTTAATAATAGTCATTTATATTTTTATCGCAAGTGGTGCGAAGCTCAGCTTCGTCTCTGTGTTAATTCTAATTTTTTGTGTCTACGGCTCACTTGGTCCGGAGGTAACGAATACACCTGAGGCGGCAAAGGTCCTGGGTTCGAATCTACCAGGGCCTGTTTTTTTTCAAAGGGGAAATATTCGGTTTCACAAAAAACATTGTCGGCTCATTATTTGTCTGTTTTTGTTTTGTCGCCTTAATTGTGATTTTGAAGAATTGATGTTTTTGTACATTATCTTTGCTTTTAGTGTTCTGATTTACCTCTGATGCTTGTATTTTTACTAACCTTAACGTTTTGTTTTCTTGTTTTTTTCGCGGAAAAACTTTTTATGCCCAAATTACTTCGGCCTTTTTTAAATCAAATTAGTAACCTAGTTTTGATTCGTTTTAAGGAAAACAAAATCTTAATGCTCACTGTTGGATCGCGCAAAATACTAAAAATCGTAATAGAAATTCAGTTCAAGTTTGCAATGACAATATTTTTTTCCGGCTTTTTTGTTTTTTTTTCTTTTCTTTCGGGTTGATAGGTTTTGGCCTATACTATTTCGATATAATGGCCATATTGCGTCCATCGATGAGCGAAAAAAATTATGTGTGTGTGTGTCTGTTTTGAGCGTGAAGGGCCATTGGTATTTTTTGGCTTTGTTACCGTTTGGTAAATTTTCTTCGATGCTTCTATCACATTCCATTGTCTCGGCATGTTTTTTAATTTGAAAACTAGCCTTATTTTTTGATAGAACTAGTTTTTTTCAAAATTTTCTTTTTTTTTTTTGGTTTTTTTTCTGACATAGCGGCTTTCTTGTTTTTTTTCATTGCAAGTGGTGCGAAGCTCAGCTTCGCATCTGTGTATAAGTTGATTCTAAAGCAACACTTGATAAAATGTTTTTATATTTCAAACCTTATGAATTGTTTCTGAGAGGTGCTTACGTTTTGAACGTTTTGTTTTGATAAGCTTATAATTTCATGCTACTTTTTCATTTGTACCACACAGTATTGGTTGTATAATTAGTAGAAATTCCACAATAATTCTAATTAAAATACACGTATTCGTTTTTTTTTCGGATTGCGTTAATATATCTGATTTTTAAATCTTATCTATCTATCTATTAAATTTAAATGCGGGATTCACTATCTTTTCGTGGGTAAGCTATTTCAACGTATTATTTATTTTAAAGGAACGACTGTAAGGCTGTAATTATGATGCAAGTATGAGAGGAGAGGAGGGCAGATTAGTGTGGGTAGTGTAAAGCTGAGACTCATTCATCTATCTATACATTTTTACGGGGATTTTCACTGATTAATATTCTGATATTCATATATTGACCTGTAAACTGGCAATATAATTTAACGGTTGTTTTCTTAAGTTGTTTTCTTAAGTTGAGGTTTTAAATTCTGTTGAAGCGGGAATGCTCTAATTCTGCACGTTTTCTATATTCGCAACGCAAGTTTTCTATATTTTTCTTTTCAGTGTTTAATTCACTCAATTTGCGATCAACAATCATATGGTAGGGTGCTGTCAGGATTCTCCTAGGGATTGTGAAGTCGGCCTCCAATTATGATTACTGAAATCCAATTCTTTCCAGTTTGCGAGATATGACGTTTTTTTTTTAAATTGTTCAAATTTTTTCTCAGAAAGTTGATTTGAAAAACTTCACATAGTTTGAAATGCCCAAATTTTTAGTGGTATGATGTCAGGTTGTTTTAGGGGCTCAAATCTATTTTGCTTCCGAAATATGACGATTTTTTCATAATTTTCAACAAACTTAGATTTGAAACTCTCAATCCTATAGAACGTAAATCTGAAAAACTTAAATTATTTGGAAATTGGTGGGATATTTGCAAGGTACTCTCTAAAGTTAATTCCCGAGATTTAACTTTTTAGAATTTGTAGAAGTTTTAAAACTTCATTTTAAAATTTTGAAAATGTTGATCCTTGTCAGGGTACTCCCTAGCAGTTATAGACCTGGCCTCCTTCCAAGTGCGATAGCTCAAACCTTCAAAGTGTCCGATATATGAGATTCTATAATACATGTATTTTTCTCAATTTGAAATACTTAAAAAAATTTAAGCTTGAAAAAGTACTTCTCAGATTTTGAAAATCTTGATCATATGGCGGGGTGATATCAATTTACTCCGAAGTTTTGCAAATGTGGTCTCCAAATATGACTCAAATTCTTCCAGTCATCAATTCGACTTTTTATCGAAGATTTGCAGAAGATATGTTTAAAAAATTCAATTCTTTGTGGGATGCTGTTGACACAGTTTTTCAGTTTTCCAGGTTTGACATTTTTAAAAATTATTTCAAAAAGTTTCAAATAATGTTTTTTTTTTCGAATATAAACAAATATTTCTTTGTTTTGGATATATGTCAATTACAAATATGGTTTCAAAATTTTTGAAGAAAAATAATAATGTTTCGTGGTCGGATCAATAAAAGGTGAATAAATGAACATAAGTATGCATGCCGGACGCGCCCGCTCGTGGCTAAAATTAACAATAACAACCCAATTAGTTCATATCACTAATGTATTTTTTCTCGATAAACTTGATATTTTTCGCAAAAAATTTCCAACGTGTTTTAGTGAACCTAACAAGTTCGTATCGATGCTAGATAACCCTGTATTTTAATAAGAATTATGAGATATTATTAGTACGATATTAATTTATTTCACGAGATATAACCGTTCTTATAGCTGATCAAATTATTTCCTAATGAATTTGTCTTGATTTTGTTTTTGTTCTATCCCCGATTTTTTCAGAAAAAATTATCTGCACCTGATTCTATGACATCAAAGCAAATGCAATATGAGACAAGGATACTAGCACAGAATGTTCCGTCCATAGTCTTTAAAAGGCTACAAGAAAAATGTTTTTTTTTCTTCAAATTAGTGGTTTTTTCTGCGTGGTGTGATAAAAGGATCCAACGTTTCAGTTTAATTTTGACATTTTTGACAGTCATAGTAATATAGGCAAACAGGACAACAGATTTTGAAGAACACTGACTAGAAAAAAAGTTCATTTAAAAAACTTTAAAAAATTTTCAATTTTTTGTGCAGCATTTTTTTAAGTTTTGATTCCCATTGTGGCATTAAAAATCTCCAAAAATTGCTTTTGGTCGAGTAAAAACAAAATTAAGCATAAATAAGCGTGCTCGCTGGCTTTGGTCGCTCGAAATTAAACAAAAAATCAAAAATTTCAAACCAGTTTTTCTCAGCACTAAAAAAAATTTTGGGAGTGTGGTTCGAATCACGACTGAAAGGGCTTTAATATGTTATATCACTCAACCTAGTCCGACGGTTCTTTGTGGAATCCTGATTTTGCGTGGAAGGAAATGTAACACACACCCGAATACTAAGTTCCTCCCCATTTTCAATGGTCCGAACAATAAAGAAAATCTGATCGATTGAAGGAAAAAACGAGCGAAGGGTTGCTTCGACTTTGACTTCGATAGAATGATACAAGCCATTATACAATTTTTCACTGAGCTTCAAGTCTACCACAGCCCGATTAATTTGAGCTGGAAAAATTGTTCTAAATGAATGGTAAAAGAAGCCTGATTGCGCAAAATTTACTACTGATTTTGCGAAAGTAATCACAACAGCTGCTAGAGTTTTTTATCGACGATTTGAAATGGGATCGAGTGATTTCAGCAGCTTCTGTCTTTTAGATAGCAATGACATGATCAGCAAAAATAAACAAAAATTATTTTAAAACTAATTGTCAACAATCAAATGGCGGCCGGTCAAAGCAACGAGAAAGATCATCAGCAGTATAAGGACTCAATAGTAGACGCAGTTTTAAAGGTGAGGTGTTATCATCCTTATTATTTAGTCAGATGAAAGAATTAGTTTTGAAATTTTTTATACTTTTAGGGAAAGGCATCAAATGGATACTTTCCTGAATTTGTCGATGAAGGTCAGTAGCTGTCTGTTATTCGTGAATCAGATTAATTGTTCTGATACAATGATAGAAAAAACTGTAAATGTTCTTCCTTTGCTATGATTCACACGGAGCGACGATTCGCAACGTGAAAGAAATCAGTACAGAATTAGCCAAGAATATTTTTGTCTCACTATTTTTGTTCTCCATTGATAGGCTTCCGCTTTTAGTGCCGTAATGTCTCGTTGGCGAATAGTTTCAAAATTAGTTTAAACTATTAGGTGAATTATTTTTATAAAGCTAGCTATACAACTCGACTGAAGATTTCTTTCTCAGTTATTGATAATTTACATCTTGAATCGGCTCACTCTAAAAGGCTGGAAATAAATTCATTAATCCTGCAAGCAGCTGAGATGTAATCAAATTCAACATATACATAATCAACATTTAATAGACAAGAATACAAAGGATTGTTTTAGAAAGATAGAGAAGGAAGATCATTCCACTAAATTATGATGAATGGAACGTTTAGGCAATTCTAGCTCAGTAGCTGTTGAGCAGATTGGACAATCGTAGTTGGATCATTTTGATCAAACATGTTTTTGCAATTAAAAAAAAGGATTCTCATTGGTTTCTGCAATTAGAATTTTTTCAAGTTAATGTAACTACCTCTACGAACCCTTGCAGTAGTAAGCCATTCAAAAAATCAAGCGTTTAAGTTTTATGACAATTTATATCTCTCACACAGATTGGATAAATTGGATCGTCAGTGTAATTACACAAGCAAAGCTTGTGTGATAGTATGCACTCTATTTTCTTCCAAGGTAAGTCGCAAATTTTAGTGTTCATCTCGAAAGTCTTCTTCTTTTGCGGTATGTGCATAAGATCAATAACCAGCTATTAAGTATATCCAATGCTAAGGATATTAACACAGACTTTTATATTACAAATAGCCTTTTAGCTTCAAGGCAGCAACGATTTGTAGCGTAGTCTTAGGGAATGAGACCCGCAACAAAATAAGAGGGGTCGAAACTGAGTAGCATCGGATATTTTAAATGAACTTTTTCGTATAGTGGTTAAAATGCGTCCGCTCTATAAATTGAGGCATGTTAGTTGGTTAATTTTTTTTTCAAATTGACTGGTACTGCTAATGCGTCATAATTAGCTCGCATCACTTAGCAATTATGTAGACTCGTAATTGGCGTGCGTCACTTGAGAAATTATATAGACTCAAAGTTTTACTCAGATATTCGACTAATCTGTTGAATTTCAACTTCATTATTTCTGAGTTCCAATTACCAAAAATACGTTTTTCTTATTTCGCTTTTTTCGTGTTCTCGCTAGTGTTTGCGAGGCGCAGGTTCGCCTCTGTAGTCATGAAAGCACTCGAAACTGGGTTCCCGGTATCGTTATTGGTCATAATTTTGCTTGTGTATGCGAAGTGCAACTTCACCTCTGTTTGAATTTTTCTGTCTTGATTTCTGCAAAACGCATAGGCAAGTTCATGCATGTAAGAATATTTTGACTAAGCTCTGATTTTGACTAAGCTCTGTTGGTGTCTTCAGACATAGTAAGAGTATGTCTGCGTTTCAATTTTTCTTCGTATTCGAAATTTGTGCATATGTTGGTTGTAAACCACCGAGTTTTTTTTGTTCATAATAGTTTTTGATTTTATTTGGCAAAAAAAGATTACAGATCATCTTAGTTGCCTCTTGTTCGTTTTTTTTCAAGTGCTATATCAATTTTTATTTCGTTTATGTGCTAAATGTATGCGAATTGTGAAATTTTACAATATTACTAGCTTGTAACGCACCTCCGGTGCTTCGAATTTTAAACAACTCATAAAAACCGCATATGTTGGAAATAAGATCTGCATCCTTTGAGTGTACTTTGACAGCAAAAATTTACAGTCTTCGTAATTTCAAACGTTGTAAGCTTTTTTATTCAAGTTTTTCACTTCAAACTTTGCAAAACCATAAAATTTTGTGAAATTTTTTTGTATCTAATTTCTTTAAAAAATTATAAAAATGAATTAAGAATTTTCACATCTCAGAAACTAAATGCAAGTGAGCAGTCTCATTTAGACATCAGATTTGCATTTCCTGGGAGTACTCTCACAGTACCCAACTACAGATTTAAACTACAAATTTTGAGAAATTTCAAATTTAACTTTTCTAAATTTTTTTTTTGAAAAACCCTTCGAAACGCCAGATCTAAAAAAACTACAAAGATTTGAACACTCATTATTGGAGGAACGATTTGCAATCCCTGAAAGTACACTGACGCCCTCATCTACAGGGTTGGGAACTTCAAACTCTGAAAAACTTCAAACTTAGTTTTCTAAACCCCCAACTTCAGAAATAAGAATTTTAAGATTTAAAAAAAATAAAATTTCAGTTTCTGAAACATTTTTGAAAAAATCACAAAATTGTTATATCTAGAAAGTATTTGAGCAGTCATATTTGGGGATGCAAGATTGACAAACTCTGAAAGTACTCTGAGAGCCCCCAGCTACAGAGTTTGGGTTTTTGCAATTTCAAAAAAAATAATAACTGATTTGGTGTGAAAAAAATCACGAAAAAAGTCATATCTCGAAGACTACAGAGATTTGAGCAGTCATATTTGGAGAAAAAATGTGCATCTCTTGAGTGCCCTGACAGAGTCTCACTATTGAACAATTTGAAAATATATATAAACGTAACATTGTGGAAACTAAGAGCATTTGATCAGTCGCATATGGATGCAAGATTTGCAATTTAGAACTCCTGAGAGTAATCTCAGAGTTACCCAACTACAAGGTTGGGAATTGTGAATTTTTATTTCTTTTGATTTTTTTAAATCTAAGTATTCTGAAAATTTTTTAAAAAATCATAAAACACTTCATATCTCGAAAATTACAAGGAATTGAGCAGTCATAATAGGAGACAAGATTCACAATCCTTGAGAGTACTCTGACAGCAACCAACTACAGGGTTGGGAATTTCAATTTTAAATGATTTTGTAATTTGTGTTTTCAGAATTTTCTCGTATCTCGTACACTAACAGGATTTCGGCATTCATAATTGGAGGCAAAATTCGTAACCCCTGGGAAAACCTTGACACTATTAGGCTGCTTATTTTAAACTCGGTGAAATAAATACTGAACTTGAACTGGAAAATCGAAAAAAACTTCTTAACCATTGCAAAATATGATATAGCTTAAATGTGAAAAGAATCGTTCCTTACACATGCAAAATTAATACATTAAGAAGCTGAGATGGCAAAAATCCTGGGTTCGAATCTGGCCAGGACCTGTTTTTTCTTTCAAACGGGAAGTATTGTGTTTCAAATAAAACTTTCGGCCAATCATTCGTCCGATTATCTGTTGTCGGCTTAGTTGTCACATCTTGAAATCGTTTTTTTTTGCTGCGCGCATTTTAATGTTTCTTTCAGTGTTTGATTGACTCTTATTATTTGAACTTTTACTTACCTTGCCTTCGTATTTTCTTCTTTGTTTTTTTGTTTCGATTAAAAATTTTGGGTCGTTTCTAGGGAAGCACAACTTGAACGCTCCCGTCTCCAATTTTAAACTTTGTTGTATCTTTACCTATCGGTTTGTTGATTTTTTTTCGCGATGGAAAATTATTTCCAAATTTTTTGGAAATTTTTGTTTTTGTCAATCGTATTCTGATTTTCAAAAAACGGACATCAATTGAAAGACCGCCTACTACGCTGTGTGCCTGCATACTTCACTATTCTCTTTTTACTTGACCCCTCTGTCTACAGCAATCGAAAAATCTATGGGGGAATATTTGACCCACAATTTTGATTTTTTTTTCGTTTTTGGTTCCAATAATAAGATGTTTGAAAATTTCCCTGCATAAGCGGCCACGCCCAAAATTTTCTGACACCAAATGTTATGGCCCTTATAAGAGTCGAAGTTTTTTTTTCTTTAAGTTCTTTTTTTTGAAAACTACCCTCCGAAAGCTGAGATTTTGGGTTTTATCGAAATTACAGGTTGTGTGAATCCCTTCTGCATCAGCTGCATTCTGCATTTTTTCACACAAAAAGCTATGATTATCGGAAATATCAAGTTTTGGCTGGCCGACCATTTTTCGGACTTTTCTCGCTAACTATCCTGCCAAATCTGATATCACAATTTTGATTGAAACATCAGGTTGTTGAAAGCCTACTTTTATTATTGGCTATGCCCTGTCTCTTTACGAAAAATTTATGGCGTTCAAACTTTTGAAACTTTGACAGGTTTTTGGAAATTTTTTGACTTCATGCGAAAACTATCGTTCCAATTCTCAGGTTGTGTTCAATCGAGAAACCCGGATTTGAGAATCTTCTGTTTTTAAGTGGCGACAACCTGCTTTTTGCAGAAAAAAAATATGGTTTTTGGAAAATCTTTGACTGTTTCTTTGAACTTTTGACCGATTTTTAGAAAAAAAATTTTGTAATTTACCCAATCAAATCTGGGGTTAAAAGTTCAAATGAAAGAACCAGCTGCAATAAATGTTCCGGTAGAAGCGGCGAGTCCTTAGTTTTTGTAAGAGAAATATGTTCTCCTGGAGAAAGTTGCTTATCTCAAAATCTTTACTCTTCTCACTTATTTTAGTAGAGAAACAACTAAAGTTTTGGGCCAAGTCAAATTTTTGAATTCTTATTTTCTGTGCCACATCAGTATAGCAATTTCATTTAATATCAAACACGTACCCCCAGCTTTAGCTCGGCCTTTAGTTGTTTTTTATCGAGAAATACGAAAATTTTGTTCACATAGTTTTTTTTCAATATTTAAAGTTTTTTTTCTGTGTTGTATCGGAACTAGTGCCAAGCTCTGAATTTGGATTTTTTATGCATCTTGATTTTTTGCTCATCGTCGACTTGTTATGTCTTTTTTTTTCTTTGAGCGTATCTCTCAATAGAACGGTCGTTCTACGGCATATTTTTCAGTCCACCAGATACAAATAGAAACAAATAGTCTTTCCAATTTCAATTTTTCAACGTTCCGTTATATGCTGTTTCTCACGCAGTTCAATCTGTTCAATCGCTTCTATAGCAAACAACTCACTTCTTTAGATTTGTCGATCCGGTCGGGAGAAGCTGTAAAAATCTTTCAGTTTGTACAGAAAACATGCTGAACCTACTCTCACCGAATACACTAGTGCACAAAATTAAGCAATTTCAGATTCTTTCTCTTAAACGTCTGTTTTCAATGTCCTTTTTGACAACGTTTTCTTTGATTTTCAGCGAAATTTTTACATGGACCAAAAAGAAAATCATCAGAACTAAAATCTATGAAACTATCAAAGTTTGGTTTCAAGGACTTACCTAGGTAATCCGGGTCTGAAAAGGCCAGATTTCCTCATCTGCACTAATTTTTTTCAGTCCACGTAAAAAAATAAGTATAAGCCGAGCTTGGTAAAAAATTTCACACTGATTATTTTAATTTTCTCGCTGAGAATGTTTCACGTCACATGAACCTCTTTTTCAAAAAGCTCACTCCTATGCAAAATTTAGTGCAGATGAGGAAATATGGCATTTTCAGACCGGGCTTACATTGGTAAGTCTTTAAAAGCATACTTTGCGAACTTCATAGAGGGTAGCTCTGATCATTTGTTCTTGGTGTAGGTAAAAAGTTTTCTGAAGTTCGAAGTAAATGTTGTCCAACGTGCAAGTGGAAACAGGCATTTTAGAGAGTAAAAACCTGAATTTGCGCCTAATTTTGTCCATTAGTGTAAAATAAAAACAATAAATGTTATTCAGGGTCAATGAATGTAGTTTTTGTGTTTCGATTTTTTTTCTCAGCCAAGTTTTAATTTTTTTTTCACTTGAAATTTGATCTTTTGTGGCTTGACTTCTTTTTAAGTTTAAATCAATTCTAAAAGGAAGTCAAGTTGCGCTTTTCAGTTGCGCGAGCAGAGATAGCGCCAAAAACCTGAACAGTTTAGTTTTTCGGAAGTTGATTTCAACACTAGCTGGCGTTATGTTTTTTTTTGCGAATCCGTTTCTCTTCCGACCCTACTCGCTTTTCCAACCTCTGTACTTTTTGTAGAAAAGCATAAATTACAAGTTGTTTTTTTTTTTTTCTGTTTTTACTAGTTCTTGTTTTTGCTTTCGGTGAGGCAATGGCATCAGACGCCAAATTTAGCTGCGCAAAGAGATAAATATTTGTTTTTTTTATTAGTTTCTGATTTTCCGCGGTTTTATTTTTGATTTCTTTTTAAGTTCGGTATTTCCATTGTTAAAACGAAAGCAAACTCCTCTATCGAAAAGCATAAGTATTAAGGTCACGAAAAACCTGATCGAATTTTAGTTTCAATAAAGTATTTCCCAGCGAAATTCAAAATTTACCTATTGATCCACTATTATCAAATTGGGGTAATTTTATCAAAAAGCACCAGTCTTGAATTTTTCTTGAAATTCCAAGAGTTTTAATGGCATATGTTTTTCAACTTTAAAAGTTCGTTTTTCTGTTACCTTGCGTTCCTTGCTCTTTTCCAACTGCCAGTTGGTTATGTTTGTTCTAGAAAGAGCGAGAGCGCATTCAATGCTGGATACGATAATCAGGGACATGAGCACCCAGCTGCAGATACTTCAGAATTCATTGGAACCTCTTCCCGATTGGTATGTGCTGCAGGCGAATGGTGAACATGCTACGCGAGTGTTGGATGCCACTTATAGATCCGTCGAGCCAGTTCAGCCAGTCGCAGCGGATAATCTGAGTTACTCTGAGGCTAGATCAACCTCGACCTCCAGATCAGGCTCAAGTTATTATGAAAGATATACATAATGTTGTTTTTTACACAAGCGGAGCGGGCAAAGTTTAATTGTATTAATACTAATCCTCTTTTTCGACCAAATTCGCACGTTTTTGTGTGAATTTCTGTTACTTTATATAACGTTGTCTTTTTTGGCAGTTTGAAATTGCATGAGCGATATCAGTTTAATTCGACTTGTGTTTATGGTATAGTGTTTGTTGGATATTCTTTGCGGGGTTGAATTTTTCATCTTTGTTTAGAGCTATAAAAGTGTTAGTGAATGGGTCGTAGTTGCTCTGGGAAAATGGTTTGAAAACATGGAGTTTTTAGCATTGTTCCCCTATTTACACAAGCATAGCTTGTGTAATAGTATGAACTTTCTTTTTTTTCCAACCTAATTCGCAAATATTGTTGCGATGCAATGTTGCGACAAAATGTGTTCATTTTGATCCAGCTATTAAGTACAGCCAATGCTATGGATATCAACACAGACTATTATATTACAAATAGAACTTTAGCTTCCAGATATCATGGTTCTGTAGCGTAGAGTTAGGGAAGGAGACCAGCAGCAAAATAAGAGGGTTCGAAGCTGGGCAGGGTCGGATTTTTTATTCAACTTTTTCATATACTAGTTAAAATGCGTCATCTTTATAAATTGAGGATGTTAGTTAGTAAATTTCTTTCCAAATTGACTGGTACTGCTAATGCGTCATAATTGGCTTGCGTCACTTAACAATTATGTAGACTCATAATTAGCGTGCGGCACTGAAGAAATTTTGTAGACTCAAAATTTTACTGACTCAGTTTTTTCCAGTAGCGTTGTCGGTTATATTTTTGCTTGTGTATGCGAAGTGCAACTTCGCCTCTGCGTTATAGTTGTCTTCTTTCTGTTTGTAAATATAATGTGGCATTTATATTGAGGCTCCTTTTGGCCACAGTCACATGTATTTTTGTAAAAAATTTTTTAGTTCTCTGGCGGTTTCATGAGATTTTGTTGGCAAAAATTGTTTAGCTAAATTTGTTGTAGTCGCTTTGTTTCGTTCATTCGTTTAAGATTTTATGATGGAAAAATTTTCTGTCATATCCAGTCCTTGCTGTCTGATATTTTGTCTAGCTGTAGGTTTTTCTCGAGTTGTTATATTTTTAATTAGCACTACCGGCTATTATTATTGTTTTTGAATGTTTCAAGCGGTTAGGCATATCTTGCACTGAGGAATAATTGAGTCAGACCTATTCCTCCAGATTTTATTCTCATCGATCCGAGCAAGTCAGAGTATGATTGGAATAATTTATTCTTTCTCTATTTTGATCAATTGTATTACAACTCGGTTAAATCTTTCTAAATGGTTGGTAGAATTAATTATCAATGTTTACATAGTTAAGTCATCATCATCATCATAACCGGTTTTGGTATTTAAGGTGCTGCGGCAACGTTTAACTCCTGCTCTCCATCCTTCCCTGTCCCGTGGATGGGTGCCAGACTGGTTGCAGGCACTAACATCATTAGTCACACACTCTGACCACCTCTTCTGGGTCTCCCTCTACCTCTGCGGCCAGGGATTTCCATGCTGGTGACGGAGTTGATGCATGTCGAGGCACGTTGCACGTGTCCGAACCACCTGATACGTCGTGTTCGTAGGATAGACGTGACCTTAACGACGCCCAGTTTCTGGTGAAGTGCAACCGTGGAAATGTCATCATCCAGTTTGGTGCCACAGATCCAGCGAATCATTGCACGATCGCTGCAAGATCCGTGGAGACGCTGCAAGTCCGGTGGATTTGGTGCCCATGTCTCACTACCATGGAGCATGGTCGAACGGACGCAGGCAGTGAACATCTTGCCACGGATCTTCGGTGACAACTGTTTATTTGTCAGGATGGGTATAAGTCTCCTCAACTTGCCCCAAGCTGCGCGACATCTGGCAGTGATGGCACGTTCACAACCTTCTCGCGCACGCATCATATCTCCCAATTAACAGAAGCTGGCTTCGACATCCATCAAGGTTCCGTCCACGTCCAGTTGGGTTTCAGGCCTGCCATCGATTGGACGAGCCTCACCACGACATCTTTTTGAGTAAATATATGTTTGAGCTCCAGTTTAATATTAAGGTAAATTACATAATAATTTATATCAAAATGTTTAATATCAAATGGTTGACGTCAGGGAGGGACGCCACACATTCAAAAACTTAACAAGCGAATCTGGTTGGCATTTGCCTAGCTTAGAACGTTCTGAACTCCGTCCTGTTTGCGAAAAAAGAATAATCTAAACAATATTTTTTTTTCGGTTCAGTAATTTCTTGTTTTTCATTTCGGTGAGGTAAAGGCATGAGATTCAATATTGTCTAATTACTACTCTCGCGATGCGCAAGGGTAATTCAACCGTGTAATTTGTATATACTCGTCAAAGTTTAGTTTGAGAAGTTTGTTTGTTAGGGATCAAGGTGATTGCGCAGCGTATTGTTGTACTTTTCCAAACTTTTTCAACAAACAATCCATCAAGTTTTTCGAGTTGGTGAAGTTTTGTTTCAGTTTTACCTGAATGCTTAATGTTTCGAAAAGCTTTCGGTTGTTTATGCTCGAGATTTTTTGCAAAACAGTTTGATTTCATAGTTCAATATTTTTATAGATTTTCGGCTAAATGTTTTCAGTTGCAATTATATAAATATATATACACGATGTCAAGGTCAAAAAATACAAAGAAACAGCAAAACACTAAAAGTTACTATATTGTAAAACATTTAAAATTCCAATATTTTGATTACAGACTTAATTCTGCCCAAATGATTTCGGCCTATATACAAGAAAAAGTTGAGCAAAGCAAGGCTACATATTCATCGCAGCGGCATCCCTAAAGGATAAAAGGTGGGCCATTGATGCACTTTGTGAAGGAGAGGGACTGGGAGTTAGTTAGTCAAACAATTCTACGGCACATACTTGTACAACATTAGAAATCGACTCAGTGTGCGAGACGAATGCTTGGTCATCGATGACCGGGTAATTATACCGACCAACTACAAGACAGTACTGGAAAGAATCGCTATGCCAGAAGAGACGTTATGATGGATATAGCAGGGGACACCTGGTTCCCGCATATCCATAGAGGAATCGTAGCAATGGGGCAGATTTGCAAACAATGCTGGGAGCAAAGTAAAAACTTTAAAGCGGTAATAGGAAAAAAGCACTGTTCGGAATTAGAAAAAGTGTTAAAACCAAATGAAGAGGTAAAACTAGATTTTGCAGGCCTTATGCCAGACGAATTAAACATAGATGCATACATACTAGTGGCTATAGATAGGTTTTCAAAATACCCAACCAAAAAAGTAGTAATACATACCACAGCAGACACCGCAATAAAGTTTATACAAAGATATATCATGAACAACGGAGTACCAAGAAGAATCAGATGAGTCCAAGCACAAACATTTAGCTGAAAAGTTCCAACTATTTTGCAAAGACAACATGAAATTCTTTTTTTTTGCACCTAGACGGTCACAGAGCAACAAAGTTTCATTCAAACATAAAAAAAACTCGAATAGTGGTAATGAAATTGATCCAAGAAACAATTAGTACAAACGAGCATCAGACATAGCAGAGTTTATTTAAAAAACCAAAAGTAACAACCCTGCACTCAGGGACAAAGTTGTCGCCATTCGAAATGCATATGGGGAGGAGACTAAATACCACATCGTCAAATCTAGCTACAGCAAGCAATCAAAACAAATGGAGATTGTAAAGTTAGCTAACTGTTTAGACCAAAAGAGACTCGAGAGGCCACCACTTACACCAGAACAGATGCACGACATGAATGCGTGGTCAGAAGAGGAGTTAGTGATAAAAACGGAGGCATCCCACGGAGCAACACTCGAGGATATTATCAACCTCGACAGTGACATGACTGAGTTACAAGGTTCGCACATGAAACGAATCAAATTAGGTATCCAGAATAAGCTTAAAGGGGCAGAAAAACACCATAGAATAGGCTAAAGGAGAAAATTAGGCGGTTAGCTCGAACAACGGTTCAAATAGCACAAAAAAGGATCTCAAACAATTTCAGCAAAAATCCAAATCTTAAGAAGGGAAAGTTCTAAAGTGTACACCACACACTGCATGGGTAGAAGCGTTCGGGAAGCAACCTAGACTACAAAGCATCAGCGGCTTCGCATTCGTACCTAACCCAAAATTATGGCAACTGCAGACCTACACAATTAAGCAACTTTGTAGCATCTAAGCCGGCGAGGTATAACAAAAGCTACTGGTTTTTAGACAAGACCCAGAAGCACCAAGACATTCAATGTAAGCGGAAACGGAGGGGCAGTATTAAAAGATAAACGCAAGCAAGAAGTCAGCAACAACAACTCAACATAGAGTCGCCGAAACTTAAAAGGACCAACTGGTGCATGGAACCAGCAATCCTCAAATCTCAAGAGATTCGGCACAAGGAACCAACCATACCCAGCAGGCGACCACTAGCAAGTCAACAACACGCCAACGTGGAAAGAGGTCAGGAGGCCACTAACAGCAAGAGGGGTACAATTGACGATCGCCGCGTCCCCAACCTCGAACTCGAACAGAAGAAGAAATACCGGAACCACGCAAAAAAGAGACACAAAGAAAATGCCACCACCAACCAGGGCGTCAAGAAGAGCAAAAACCAGCACGTTAGCTACGAAATTAGGCAACGTGATACCAATTATGCAGGTGGGGTCAAAGAAAAGGACTCCCCAACCAACACCGAGCCAGGAGGCAGGCTCAGGGAGAAAACTGATAAGGGCAATGGCCCTTCGAATAGATAAGAAAAACCAAAAAGAGGTGGTAGCGTGCCTTGATAGCTTAAAAAACTTCGGACAAGATGAACCCACCGAAGTAGTAAAACTCACTACCAGCAGCGACTCAAGCGGAACCGAAAAGATACCAAAATACCAAAAGAAAGAGGTGGACGACGACAACCAAGAAGAGAGCAAGAAGGATCGAGAACAACTCTGAAGGAGAAAGGGAGAGAAAGGAGATGAATGAAAAAAATGACTTCAAAGTCAAAAACTATCAAATTCATACTTATAGTGTTGCAGCCAGGGAAGTGTTATGTTATTTTATGTTGTATTATTAGATGTAAAATTGTCATACTAAGTTTTTATGTGCACAAGGATTGAACTTCGGCCTTGAAGGCTATCCATGCACGGTGATCTTCACGGTACACCAAAAGAGACGTAGACACGTCAAGTCATGTGCGAATTCATTGTCGCCATATTGTTATCTAGAAATCAGTACATAACCTAAATAGACCTTGATCGCCTCATCTTATTATTTGAGACTAGGACTCACAAAAGATACCTCGTGGAGGCCTTATCCGTACAGATACGGATTCCAGTTACCTACTTGGTAAGAATGACAGTAAGCTATTTTCACATTGTATTGTTTCAAAGTTAGCTTTATTCATTTTGATAACTTAATTTTTTCGACGTTTTGTTTTTAAAAAAAAATTTCCGACCTAGCGGCTGTTTTGTTCTGTGTATAAAAAAAAGATGTTCTGTGCGTAAAAGTGGTGTAAAAAAATTTTAAAGATGATTTTTTTCCTTATGCGTTGGAAGTTTTCTGTTAGTTATGTTCGTTTGCAGTTTTCATTTGTGATGAAAGCTAGTTCACAGTGTCGCAAAAACTGTTTTTTAAAAGAATCCGCTTGGAGTAATATAATAACGTGCAGGCAAGTACGAGTCCGAGGAAGTTTTTCGAGATGTAAGTTTTTTTTACGTCAGTTTTTTTTAAGGGCCGAACTCCTGCCATGGCACCGACTCAGCGCAAAGTATAGCAGTTGAACTCTTTAGACTGTACCCCGAGTTTGACGTGGAGACGATCGAGGATACCATTGTTGGCATGAAGATCGAGGATTATGATGAAGCCAAGAGTAAAGTTATAAAACAACTGGAAACTTTTCGAAAAGAACAGTACTCAGAGGTGGAGACTACAAGATACAGTCAGCCGATAGGTTTTGGACAGAGCTCATCCGCTGAGTATGTACCTGCTTTCGGCAGTCAATCAAGACCAGACTGGCAGCAATCTGTAAGTTAAGACGGAAAAAGTACGAAGTAGGACAGGGTTTGAGTCTCTGGTGTTCTAACAGAATTCTCAATGGTTTCTTGATATGAAACTAGTATTTACCATTGAAGCTTCAGACTATCTTAGCGTTATTAACTGAAATTGAACAATGAGCATAAATTGCCGTTTGCTTTGTAGAATGAATTATTTTCGATTTTAAGAGTCGATTTACGTAGTTAAAGATATAGGTCGTGATGAACAAATCGCTTGAATCATGAAATAAGCAAGCGTTATCAAATTGGGATAAAGATATTTTGTTTTCAGCCGAATAACTTGTGTAACAAATTCAGTTGGGTTATTTGATAGCTTGGCTTGAAATAAATTCATTTTTCTCAGCTCTCTTAAAGTTACCTTTCTCAGCTCTCTTAGAGTTTTCTAGAATCAAATATGGTCAGAAACGATTTAACAGTCGATGAACGTAGTTCAGACTTTTATATAGGTCGTGATGATTTTCCTCCCGTTTTTTTCCAGGAAAATCCTTGAAATTTGTTCAGGCTCAAATTTGATTTTTCGCGGTTTGTTTTTTGATTTTTTTGGTGTTCTGTTTTTTGAAGTTCTGTTCATTTCTGTTATTAAAAGGAAAACAAATTCCACTATCGAGCAGCAAAAATGTAAAGGTCAAGAAAAACGTGATTGACTTCTAGTTTCCGCTGTGGAAATGAATTTTCAGATTTCTCAGCGAAAAAAAAACATTTTATTTTTTTTATCCAGTTTTCTCAAATTGGGTTAGTTTTATCGAAGTGCCAATCATAATATGGTCTAGAAATTGAATGAGCTTTAAGAGCATCTATTCTCGTTTTTTGAAATTTGAAAGTCAGTTTTTTTTCTGTTTCTTTGCGTTCATTACTCTTTTCCAACTGTCGGTTGTCTATGTTTGAGTTCAATTACAATCTGATAAAACTTAGATAAATAGCTTTCTGCAAATACGAACCTGGAAATGGCGGAAAAAAAACAATTTTTTGTTTGAAAAAAATTGTCGGCCTATTGGTTGTCTGCTTATGTTTTGTCGGCTGAGTTACCATATGGGATTTTCTTGTGCTGTAAGTGATATTCATTGTTTTGAAATGTTTTGTTTATTTATTCCTGTATTTTGTACCTTTTTGTGTTTACGGAGGGGGATCATAAAAACTTTTTTGGGCTTAGTTGCCTCTCGATAAGTTTTCGCAAATAAAAGTGCTCATTTGGTGGCTTTTCTGGTGTATTTCAATTTAGTCATATTTAAGCTTATTTAAGCATAGGCAATATAATAGCATATGTTGCTGCTTTTTTTTGGCTAGTATTAGGTCTTGTTTGAAAAAAAAATGTATTATGAAAATGTATTGGATTCGTTTTTGTTGCTTTTTTTTGCGACGCTATGCAAAAATTTTTGCATTTTCCGCAGAAATTTCAATTTTTCTCAAAAAATACTACTTTCAAAAAATGGTACTGATGAAAAAATCGGCTGCTCTTCTATGTGCCTGTATATTTCGCTAGTCTTTTACCCCACGTTCTAAGACCCTCGAAAGTTTCAGTAGGGCGATTTTTCACCTAATAGTTTTAATTTTTTTTTTAATTTTTGCATTATCAAAAGCACAAATCTGAGATAAAAGTATCAACAAAAGAACAAATCATGGGCATCTTTCCTTCTCAAGCGGTTATCCCGTAAATACAGTAGAAAAAAGTTATGGCCTCAAACATACTCATTTTTGACATTTTGGTTAATTTTTCAAATTTTTTCTCAAAAACTACCTACCGGTGTAACCGAAAAAAAAAGTTATGGGAATCTCGTCTGCACAAGCGTCTATGCCTTACGTTTTGAAAAAAATCTGGCATGAGAAAAGGTCCATTTTTTTGGAAATTTTGTTGTTTAGGTTTTGATGGGAACCTAACATGGTGCTTAGATTTTGTCTGCGTAATCTGCTACACCCTACTTGTTTGTAGAAGAGCCGATATGGACTTCGGAAAAGTCCTTTTTTATATATAAAATTTTAACATTTTTAATAGAAATTTCATCACCTGGCTCAAAAACTACTAGCTAAATATGATATTTAGATTTCAGTCTTAAATTTAGGGTGTGAAAATCTTCTGTGCATAGGAGGTTATTCCCATGCTTTACTAGAGAAAAAATTATGGATTTAGGAAAAGTCAAATTTTTTATTTTTGAGCATTTTTTAGAATCTTTTTCTCTTGTTTCGAAAACTACCTAGCCAAATCTGAGAGAAAGAATTTACTTGAAATAGATAGTAGTAGTTTGCTCCTTTAAGTAAGGGGCTAATCCACTACTTAAGCAGTGTGTTTCGCGTAAAATCCTTTTTTTTTTTTGAAATTTTTAAAATCACGCATTTCCGTATCAGTACAATATGGTTAAAAATCTTGAAACAGGCGCAAATAGCCATAGCTGGGCCACTAGTTTACTTCCAAGCGACCGTTGCGCAGACGCCAGGACGTGAGACTCCAAATCAACAGGTTGGAGAATCAAAACCAGAACATTGAAATAGTTTTTTGTCGAATTTTTGCTACATTGCATTGGCAATTTGATAGCTGCTCTGTTGGTGGCTAGTCTAAGTAAGATTACAAGCGATTGTGGAGCAGAAGTGAGAACACGTGAAACTCCTATTCTCAGGAAAATGTATTTTTCAAGTTGTATTTTTGGTCTTTTCCTTTTGCCTTATTTCACTGTGTTTCGCGTGTTTAGAGCTCTTCAGCGTTTTCCTCGCTTGTGTTTGCGAAGCGCAGCTTCGCCTCGCTGTCATTTTTGTTATTCATTTGGTTGTACGTTGGTTCCTTCGTTCTATTGATTCAGCGTGAAGATTGAATGATATGTCATTTTAGAGCCCTAGAGGTTGTGATTGGAATGATAGTAAAATAATCGAAAAGTTTTCTCAATGTCGAGAAAAACTTGTTGGAATTTTTTGATTCTTAGTTCGAGCGAAGAAACCAAGCAATTAGTTGTAAAAATAGAAAAAGATTTTAAGTAAGCCGTAAAAATTTGGTTTTTCCAATACAATAAGTTTCCAAATTATTTTTTGCGCCTTTTCTGGCAATAAAGAAATGCCATAAATTGCCTTCTTGGGCATTTCTTCATTTTTGTGTTCGAAGAAAACTGTGGCTGCTAATGCGTAATTTGTTATTGAATATGCCTTCGTTTTAGGCTTTTGTTGAGGTTTTCTTATCACACAAAAGCTCTCGTCTTTTTTTTTTTTAAAATGACCCAAGTTGGAAAAATGTTTTCTCAGTTTTTCAAAAATTTTTGGTAGGACCTTTCTGTGCTACGAGATATAGGGGCATGTTTTGTTTCTGATAGCAACCCAATATATATTTCTTTATTCAAATATGATTGAGGGAATAGTTAGTTTCGAATTGAACGACTGTGGTTTTTGTAAGCTACGATTAACAGTGGCAAGCTAAGGTATTGCTCATCTTTTTCTATGCGCAACAAATGATTGTGTTGTAGTACGAGCCTATCGCTTTACCCTGTAAGTCGCACTTATGTGTTAAGTATATGTGCTAAAATTTTGCGTTTTGAAATGGCATGTTTTTGAATGTGTTTCAGTTCAGTCCAAGGGTGTTATGCACAAATCGGCCCAAAATTAAAACCTTTATATCTCTTAGCTAAAACTAATGCGCAAGAATTTGATTGGCTAATATTGGCCAATCAAACTCAACCAACATGGCCAGGCATGTCAATCAACCGTTCCAGCAGAAAAAAAATATTAGCCGAACTTACTGAGAATGTCAATCTTAATCAAATAATAAAATTGATTTCATGTTTTTTGTGAAATTATACCCAAACGAAAAAAGTTCAGTAAAATGGTTTCAACGCGAAAAATTTTCTATAGTTATGGTCATTTCGGCCAATATTTTTATCTGCTTTAAATTTTAATTGAAATGACGGACCATGTTGTTTGCATTTGATTGGCTAATGAACCAAACAGATTGAACCACATATTGACTTAAGATCAAGTTTTGGAAATACTTATTTGGGCCGTTTAGTGCATAAGACCCCAGTCCAATAAGTAGGCTTCAGCCATAAATAACTTTATCATCTCAAATTTGCTGCAATTTTGTGGACAGTTTTTGTTCAAAGGGTTTAATTCTCGCTGTCGCGTAGAACCACTGTGAGGTTTTTTCACTACTAAAAGAAAAAACCATTTTAATTTTTTTTTGGTTCTTTTGAACCCTTAAGTTTAAATTACAAGCATGAGACTGGCGAAAAAGTTTTCTTTTAAGGTTTCTTTTTAATTAAATATAAATTTCTCTTAGGGTTTGTATGAAATTTTCAACTAATTACGCCATTCCAAATTAATGACCCACATTTATGAAATTGATGATTTTGCAATAGAAAACGTTTCAAAAGTTGTAGCCTTAATATGGAACCTTTTTTCTAATTTAATCAAAATTTTTGAACATCAGTAAGAAACGCCGATTTCGAAAAACTAAAAAAATTTGTGCAATAATTTTAGGATCGGAGGCTATATCTGCATGCGGATCTGCATCTCTGCTTTTCTAAGAGAGTAACAGGCCTTGAGCAGTCATATTTGGAGTCCAGATAAACACCCTGAGAGTACCTTCAGAGCAGCTTTTTGTTGAATACCTTGTTTAGTATTTCAAATTTCTAAGTTGATCGAATCTCTCGGAAACTAAGATGATTTGCGCAATCAAATTTGAAGGAGAAATCTGCAACCTCTGAGAGTACCCTGTGTTGAAAAGTTTTGAAACCTTTTAAATAAAAACCAAATCTCAAAAACTAAAAAGATTTAAGCAGTCATATTTGGAAGCAAGAAGTGCAACGCCTGAGAGTACGCTGACAGCACCTCTTACTGTAGAGTAGAGAAATTCAACTTTTGTCAAGTTTTTTAAACCTAAAATTTTGAACGTCATATGTCGGAAATCAAAAGAATGTGAGCGGTCATTTTTGAGGCAAGATTTCAACCTTTGATTTTATCCTGACACCATCCAATGACAGGGTTGAAAATTTCGAGTTTTGTTGATTTTTTTTAATTCTAAGTTTTTGAACATATTCAAAAAGTCACAAGAATCAACTTATCCCGTAACCTGGAAAGATTTGAATATTCATACTTGGAGGCCTATTTTGCAACCCATGGGGAAAACTAAGCAACATCCCACTAATGGACTAAATGGACTTGAAATAAACACCGAGTTCAAACTTAAAAACTCAAAAGAAGTTAAGCATTGCAATATTTGATATACGTGCAAAGTTCTTTCGTTGAAAATGCAACGTTAGTTCGTTGAAAAAGCTAAAACGTGGCGAGATAGTGAAGCATACATTTAAATATATAATAGATTCTACCTATCATCCAGAAAAATATAAAAAACGATAATTTTTTTTCTATCGGCGGTTTTTGCATACTAACTTCTCATTTAGATTATTGTTGAATACTTTTGTCTTGATTCATCCAGCTCTTTTTCTTAAATAAAGCTGTTTATTTCTTCAGATAGAGTACTCCGTTTTATTACCCTAAATTTTATTACTTTTATAAGAAACTCATAGTTATAGCATATATCGCATAATTTGTAATGATTTCTAGAGTGACATATACCCTTAAAAAATTTTAATTTGAAAATTGTATTTCAAAATCTGAAGTTGATGTTTTCTGGTTTGAAAAATCTTTTTTTTTCTTTTCTTAGCATTGGCAGGTTTAATCAAAATATCTACCGACAAAACATTGATACAGACTTTCTCTTATATTTTTTCTTTCGGCTTCTTGAAACTAAGATTTGTCTTTGTCTTTTACTCAATCTAATTACTTGCTGAGCTCGAGGTATTGTTTGCCCAACTCGTAAGTTGAAGATCAGAATTGTTATTAAGATTCGCTGATTGAAGATTTTTAAATAGGTCGTGATTTGTTTTTTTTTTCAGGAAAAAATTTCACCCTTCAATTTGGTTTTTCGCGTTTTGACTTTTGATTGCCCTCTAAGTTCAGTTCTTTTCCTTTATTCAAAGGAATGAGCGCTCCACTATCAAACAGCAAAAATGAAAAGGCCACGACTGCTAGTGGATTTTTTAAAGATTTCCCAGCCGAACAAAAATTATCAGAACTTAATCATTACTCTCAGTATCACCTTCAATCATATTTTTTTTGAAGTTCACAGAATTTTAAGGCCATATCTTTTTACTTCGAATTTCAAAGTTTTTTCAAGAAACGCGCCAGTTTGTTATTTCCATACGTTCATTGACTTTTTTTCCAAAACTGTATGTTGGCTATGTTTGTTTAACGTATCATAATAATCTACGATTGCTTTTAGAACCTGCTTCAACTGCAATTGATCATGTTATGTCTAGTTTCCGTTGGTTCATTTCCCGTTTTTTTAAAAAGTTTTTTTGTACTGTTTTTTTTCGGATTTTTGTTAAGCATGGGTTTTATTTTGGCTTTGAGATTGATGTTGAAAGCTTATAACCCGTCATGTTACCAAGTCTGGTTTCTTAAATTTTTAAGAAATCAGACTTGGTTGACGAGTTATATATTTCGATTAAACGGTTTTGGTTTGTTTTGTGGCATAATGAACTTATATTGCGTTCTTTCGAGGGCAAAATTCCTTTTCGACAAAATCAGGTATTATTAGTGTTGTTCATTTTAGTCTCAGGTGTTGTTCATTCTAGTCTCCGGTGGGACTTAAAGCTATAAACTTTTTATGAGATCATTTTTTTTGCTCAATTTTTGTCTGCTCAAAAATTGTCGGCTTTGTTTCATCTTCGTAAGTTTTGTTTCGTTGCTAATTCAATACTCAAGTTTCTGCCATGTTAGCCTAGAATGAACTTCTATTGAGACATACGAAAATTTAATTTTTGGTAGAACTAGTTGTTTTCTACGTTTCGCATTTTTTCGACTTATGGTTTTTGTTTGTGTTTAATCGCAAATGGTGCGAAGCTCCGCTTGGCCTCTCTGTCAACAGTATCAATCATTAAATATTAATGAAATTCGAGAAGAACTTAAACATGATTTTTTTTCGAAACCTTTGTTTCATTGAGTTCGTTGTCAGTTTCCCGCCTGTTTTTCGTCTGCTGTTTATTGATTTGCTCTTTTGCGTATTTCTCTTTTTGCCATATTCCAGCATTGTTTAGATTACTCTGATAATAGGTGATATTCGATTAGTTTATTGTATCGAAACCTTCGGCAAACGTAATATTTTTCGAATGAGGTCATTTGACTGGCGTATCACTGATGTAAATGATGAATAAAGGGGGTCAAAAGCAGGTCTTTTAAGCGAAAAAAAGAAGATGCACCTACCCTTTGTTTCAGTCCTTCGAACCAACACAGAGTACCTCTTTTTTCGAAACGCCCTTTGCACCGCCTCCTGGGGAGAAGCCAAAAAGTGTCGAAGACGAAAAGGATTTTGTGCTAATATCGCGAGAAGAAGAACGTCTTGAAGCTCTTGAGGAGTCGACACAAAGATTCTATAAAGACGCCAAGCATCTCATGGAACACGTGCGACAACCAGATCATGGTTTAGATCAAGGTGATAATGAACCCCTTTTGGAGGAGTATCTGGATTGTTTGAACCAGGAAGAGGAACTTAAAGACCAGATCGAACGCCTTGAACGACTGGTTTTGTCCACATCAAATCAGGGTGATGAATATTGTGGTTTCAGCCCGTGAAATTCACCTGTTTTTCTTTACTGATTCCGCCCAAATCGATTCTCGATATTGGTTGGCTGAAAATTATATGCGTATGCTAAAGCGTTCAGTTAGTAAATGATGAGCTGTTAAGGTTTTTCGGGCGGAATAAGCAAAAAAAAACTTTTTCTCTATTATAACCTCATACTGGACAGTGATGAATATTTCGTTAAACATTTAGTTGAAAAATTGTGTTGCACTTTTTAAGCTGTAAATAGTGCTCGGGATAAGCTTTTAGCTTCTGTGTAATAATCTTTGAATTTTGACTGTAGTTAGATTTTAAATATTTGTTGAATTTGTTTTGGATAGATGTAGAGCCTAATTAGAGTTGGTCAAACTCTCTAAAAATGAAATCTAGATTTCAGAGAATGGAAAACTTGAAAGTTTCATTTGAGATCAACGAACTGATCTTAGATCTAATCGATGAAACAAGCTGCACGTTTTCGATTCTGGAAGAGAATTCAGAACTTCAGTTTGGCAAAGTTATTTTAAACTGGGAATTGAAGCAAAGTAAAACTACAAAACCGCCTTTGGTTTTTGTTGACGACCAACCAGTTAAAAAACAATCGAAGAAGCAAAAGGAACCGAAGAAAGAAATATCAAAGACTCCTATGACTAGGAAAAGATTGGCCGCAGTATCTGGAATGTCGCCGCAGTTGAAAGTATCCAAAATGGATTTAATGAAGCTTAAAGAAAAATCGATGTCATCCAAAACCTCTTTAAAAAACCAATTGGAAGAAGAAAAAAAGAACTTGGATGCCTATATAATTGCCCCAAAAAGGAAATCGGGACTTTTCATATGTCAAATTTGTGAGCTAGGTCGGAAAAAGAAACTAGTAATTAAAAAGCACATTGAAACACATCTGCTGAAAAGAGGCACGTTCAAGTGCAGACAATGCAAAGCATCTTTTGTATGGACTTATCGTTTGCAGAAGCACTATGTCAAGCAACATAAGATGACACTTTACGCTGCTCAAAAAATGGTGAAAAAGGAACTTAAATGTTGAGAACTTTGCTGAGCGCAAAGCTGATAGGTAGTTGATAAGCTAAAGATGTTTGATCTAGATAACAGAGGCATCGAGTAGTTGTTTGAAAGTGATTATAAAATGTTAATAGGCTCAAAATGTGCAGATTGTTACACGAAACAGTTTTTTTAGTTCTACCTTTACGAATTCTCTAGTTTAAGCTCTCACGAGTACCGATAGAGCTTATTTGTATGTTGCAATTGAAGGAACAAAAGCCTAATGCTTTAGATTAGTTTTGACTGGTTGAAACAATTCGAAGATTGAAAAAAGAATTATTAGTCTTCATAGAGCCATAAATCTAATTGCTATCAACAATTGGTTAACGTGGTAGGCTACGTCTCCAATTCATTTTGCAATTTCGTTTTTCCTACTTCAGAGAAAATGGGTTGAGCTATTTGGTAAAGATGGTAGTGACGTCATCGAAGTGTGCAACCGGAGTGAACAAGTTGACCCTCACTGAACTGGTTTGGAACTGTCGCTGGATGCTGCTGGTTGCTCTCTGTCTCTATTTGTCATTTGGATTCATCTTTTCATTCATTCTGCTACCGTGTTATATTGTCTTGTTCATTGCTGGGTAAGCGTGATTCATTATTTTTCCAGTTTTTTCTTGTGCGAAGTTTTTTGGCGCATTTTTATGCAATGCCTTTAGCGACGCTTTTATGCTAATTTCAGATACGAAGTCTTTGATTTCATAAGCGAAGCTCTTATACGAGTTTTTATGCGAAAATTGTAATATGGCCAGTTTTAATTGAAAATTTCACCTGTTTGGGATGCCCGTAAACGTAAGTGTAATTGAATGTTCAGGTTTCTCTGGCCTTTCATGACAAACAAAGACCCAAAGTTGGAGCTTGTAAGTGACAGGGCATCAAGCGAGTGCTATGACTACACTGAGTACCAGGTGAGGGATTTGGTTATCATTTCAATTAACAACATAAAAATAACAAGATAAAAATTCTTGGTATGTGCGTGTGTGTGTATTTGTGTGTGCGCGTGTGTGTGTGTGCTTGTTTGAATGCGCGTGTTTGTGTGTGTTCTGCCTTTTTGAATGCTTCGTGTGCGTGAGTGTGTGTTTGTATGTGTGTGTGTTGAGGTGGACGGGTTCTCTTTTTTTTTTGGTTTTCAAGTCTTTTTTACACCAGTGGCTCGAATGCGAGAACATGAGACTCCAAATCATGAGGTCGCAAGTGCGAAACCAAGCCACAGCAAAGTGTTTACTAAATCGAGGCTTATTTAAATTTTGAGCTGCTTCTCGATTTTCTCGCTAGCTTCTCCTCTGTTTTAATTAATAAAATATACCGAAAGAAGCCATTCGTTTCAAGCAACAGTACCATAATAAAAACTGCATCTCAGGAAATTTCCAGCTCATTGTCTCTCGCAATTTTTTCTTTAAAATGCATTATTTATACAACTTTGCTTTATGCCTTCCCATTTATTACATGCAAAGTTAGCGTGAATGCCTTGAGGTTGTTATATTCTAACTAATTTCATACAAAATTGTGTCGATTAGTTTTTGGTGCCACTATTGCTGCATCGCTAGTTGCATCCTCTCTTGTCCTGGCGTGTTTTGTTAAATGAAAATTGTAGTGCGCTTTGGAAGCAACGTTTTAACGTTGCTATTGAGCACAACGTTGAAGAAGGCTTAGATCAAAACCTTTCAGAAGCATTCAGAGCAAACATCGAGCTCAACCTTTAACAGGCGTTTTAACACGAAATTTCTAGAGTTTTTAATCATTCTAAAACCTGGAGTATTCTAGAAGTCTCTTTGGAAAAAGTCCGAAGCTCTTTGAACAAGATGATTTTGATTCAACTTCAAGGCTATACAGTACCTTACCACTTTTTGTCAAAAATCTTGCCATTACAGATTTATTTCACTCTGAAATTTATCAATTATAAATAGCAAGCTTCATGCTTAGACAAACTAACTTTTAGCAAGCCGATACGATCTTTGAAATAACTTGAAAGGTTTTTGGCTGTAATAGCTTGTGTAGAAACAACTGAAAGATTTTGCTTACCGATTCAGTCTATGAAATAAGTTGAAATACTTCAAAGTTCTGTAGCTTAATTAGCTTGTTTAGAAAAACTCATTTTTCCGCAAACCGATTCGGTCTATGGGAGAACTTGAATTATTTCATAGATTGAATAGTTTTGTTAAGAAACACTCAGTTTTTTCGCGAACCGAATACAATGTAAGATATAATGTTTCGAAGATTCGTAGCTGAAATAGCTTGCTTGATTCGGTCTATAAAATAACTTATAATATTTCATAGGTTGAATAGCTTGCTTCGAAAAATTTTAAATTGCGCTGAAAAATTAGCTCTATAAAATAATTATAAATACCTCAAAGTGTCATCGCTTAAATGGCTCTAATAGAAAAACATAATTTTTGTTATCCATTTTCATGAATATACTTGAAATGTTTTAATGTTTGGTTGCTTGAATAGCTTCCATAGGAAAACTTTAACTTGTCGCAAAATGTTTCGTTCGAAGAACCTACTTGAAATAATTCAAAGTTTCATCGCTTGAATGGCTTCAATAGAAAAACTTAATTTTTTTGCCATCCGAATCGCTTCATGAAATAATTTGAAATTTTTCCAAACTTGGTAAAAACAACTTGGTTAGAAAAACTTGAACTTTTCGAAATCCGATTCAGTTCATTAAATAACTTGAAACATTTCAAAAATTCATAGCTTGAATGGCTTGCTAAAAAAGTTCAAATTTTTGCAAACCGATTCTTTTTTTTGAAATTTAAAAAGTTTTTCAAATCGATTTACGATATGGCTTATCTTGAAAATGTTTGAGTTTTCATTGCTTGAATAGCTTGATCAGAACAAAAACTAATTTTGTGCGATCCGATTGATTAATAGATACGGGCTCGCTAGTTAGCTTTATTCTTTTTGATAGATCTAGTTTTTTTTGGACAATTTTAAGATGCTTAGATTTTTTTTTCGTGTAGCCGCGTTCTCGTATGATCTCCGCTTCTTCTCTGTGTATAGGTTTGTATGAGTTGTTTAAACATTAATAGCGATGATAAATACTGATGATATGAAAACTGCAGCAATGTGGGTGTGATGAAATTTGTTTCGTAGAAGTACATCAGCACATCCAGTGGGCGTCACAGACGTGCATCTTCGAACGACACCAATGCCGACAGAAATTTATGGAGAAGTGCTGTTAAGAATGCAGACAAACAGAAGATAGAGACTGGCTACGAGAAACTGGATTCAGAACTCAACGAGGTGGGCAGAGGGACTATTTTCATGAACGAAGGACCGAACTCGCAAAAAAATCTAATAATTATTTTTGATGTTGAGTAGTAGCTAGTGTTAGTAGCTCAAGCAATCGTAACTAGTGTTAGTAGCTCAAGCAAGATTCCCGATTACAGCTAAGTGTTTATTGTGCAATTCTTTTTTACCTTTTTTCCCTTATTTTACTTTGTAATGCCTTTTAGAGCCCTTTTTCGCCGTTTTCTTAATTGTTTTTGCACAGCCCTGCCGCTGTGTTTAATTGTTGATTTTCAGTCTAATTGTTTTCGTTTTTGTCTGCTGGTTATCTTTTTGAATAAGATAATAGGCTGAGGAAGTCTGAAAAGGGTATATTCAAATTTTAACTTGACATTGAAGGTGTTTCACTTGAAGGAATTTAATCTTGTTTTATAAAGGTTTTAGTAACGTGTATCGTTTTATTCAAATTTTCAGAAACGAAATTTTCGGGCATTCTTTCCTTTTAGTATGAGGGTTGCCCCTTTGAGCCGATTTATTCCAACGTGCAGAAATTTAGATTTAACTGCATGTTTAGAGAAATGCAATCTTATTGACTTTATTATCGTTGATAGCTAGTGCTTTGGACGGGATTCATATCTCAACCCAGGTCGAAGTTAATAAAGAAGCTAATGTTGAAATAAAATGCAATTACAATCACTTTATATTAAGTTAGTAATGCACCCATGACGATTCAGGTTTTGGAACTGGTGCTTCGGGACTACGTGCACTCTTGGTACGACAAACTTCTGCCTCAATTCCTCGCCAACTTCAATAGCGAACACGAGGAACTGTTTCCCAACGCTGTTCGAAGTGTAGTCAATCACGTATGCGTAGGCGTCGCTTCGAGACTGAAAGTGGTGGACAAGATGAACCCTCTTGTTAATTTCTTCACGTCGCAAGTGGTTGAACAGATAAAAAATCATGTGGGGTTGTACAGACAAGCAGACCAGAGGGTTCCAAGACCCGTGAGAGCGCCTGTTGACAAACAAGGTAGTCATTTAGTAACTTGGCCATATCTGATTGCTGACGAGCTCCTTTGCAATCAATATTTTCATAAAATATCTGAATTGGTTAATTATCTGAATTGATTAACAAGAACAGCCGTGCACGTTGCTGTGAAAGTAAATCAGAAGGCAGAAATCCAAAGACACTAGAAAAGAAAAAGAATAGCCAAAGGCTGTGCAAGCCAAAGGCCCTACGAAAAAAAAAGATTTTTTTGCTGCTGTTTTTCGATGTTTTGTTTGAAGCTCTTCTAGTTTTTTGTACTAAGGATCTAAAAGTAAGGATCTAAAAACCTTAATTTCTTAAGGTTTTTTTTACGCTAGCGAGTCCACTTTTTCATTCAAATTTGCTCATTTAAGTGCAAATTTTAAGTTTCTTTTTGTGGCCTGGTATCTTAGCTTAGTTCTTTTCGAGCCTTCCTCAGAAAGAATCTAAAATTGAAATGATATTGCCGGATTAAGCATGATGCTGTCATCAATTATTTCATCCAATCTAACAGTTTTTTTGGCTTAAGTTAGAAGAAGAAGAAATAGGCTTAGTTTAAATGTGTTAAACAACAGCGAAAGCATACATCTAATAGGCAATAGCCGAACATTACTGAAAGAGACCATAAACTTTTTTCACGAAACTTGCTCAGGCTCAAAATGACCTTTTCGCGGCTTGACTTCTGATTGCTTTTGAAGTTCAGTTCATTTTCTTTGTTTAAATGAAGGCAAACTCCACTATTTAACAGCAAAAGTGAACAGGTCACGAAAAAATGATGTACTTCTAATTTCGATAATGGAAATTAATTATCAGGTTTCAATAAAGAATCAAATGATCTACTTACCTATTTCGAACTTTATTTAAAAGTCTTGAACGAAGTGAATACTGTTATATACGTCTTGGCGATTTTTTTGTTCTTTTTTTAGGAAAAAGTCTTTAAATGTTCTGATTACTTCATATCAATTTTAACGCTCAATTTTGATTTTCCGTGGTTTGATTTTGATTTCTGTTTAAGTTCACTTCATTTCCTTTGTTAAAGTACAAGCAAAGTCGAGCTATTGAACAACAAAAGTATAAAGGTCATGACAATGTGATCAGCTTCTACTTTCAAAAGTAATTTTCAGATTTTTCAGATTTCCAAGCGTAATAAAAAGTTTACATATTGATCCAGTTTTCTCAAATTGATTGTTCTATCGAAAAAATATAAATCATATATTCTTCTACAAAATCAAGGAGCTTTAAGGTCATCTCTTTTTTTTTTGGAAATTCGAAAGTTGAGGTTTTTAAGAGCGGAAGAATGTAGTTCTGACTCTCTCTTAGGTCATGACGATTTTTTTTTGTTTTTTTTTTTCAATTGTTTTTTTTTCTGATTTTCCAGCGTAATGCAGAGTTTGCCTATTGATCCAGTTTTCTCAACTTGATTTAGTTTAATTGAAAAAATCAAAAATCTTCAGGCTGAATTTTTTTTTCTTCAGGCTCAAATTTGATTTTTTTTTGTGGTTATTATTTTTAAAATTGATTCAGTTTTCTCGTTATACTGAAGGCAAACTCCACTATCGAACAGCGAAAATGTAAAGGCCTGGAAAAACGTGATCGACCTATAGTTTCGAAAGTGGAATTTAACAATCGAATTTCCCAGCGAAATAAAAATTTTACTGTTGATCCAGTTTTCTCAAATTGGGTTAGTTTTATCAAAAAACTATCAACCATAAATTTTTCAAGAAATTCCAAGAGTTGTAAGGCCATTATTTTTTCTTTGAAATTGGAAAGTTGTATTTTGTCTGTATTTTTTTTCTGTTTCCTGGCATTCATTACTTTTTTCCATTTGTCAGTTGGCTATGTTTTCTTGTTTCATTTTACTTGCGTTCATTGACTCTTTTCCAACTGTCTGTTGGGTATGTTTTTTTTAAAAATCAGTCTGTATTTTCTCGTGGTTTAGGAACTTAGACGACAGGAAATTAGACGATCAGAAAATAATGGAATTTAGACAATAACTTGCGTGCAAATTGCGTGAAACTTGTTTACAGAGTTAAATTATCTTTTGGCAGAGTAAATACTGGTTGTCGAACTTAGACAATAACTTGCGTGCAAATTGCGTGAATTTTGTTTACAGACTTAAATAAACTTTTGGCTGAGTAAATACTGGTTGTCCCTAAGTTCCATTTCTTTACGGTCGTCTAATTTGCTTGTCGTCTAATTTCCTAGGCTCCATTTTTTTCTGTTTACTTGCGTTCATTGACTCTTTTTCAGCTGTTTGTTGGCTATGTTTGTTGAGTATCGATCGAATAAAGATTGGAAGGCCCTTCTATGATTTTCTTGAGAACATCTGACGTTTGTTTGGCGTGGTTGAATTTGTCTAGTTTCTTACATTGCGTGATCGGAGCACAAATATTTTTTCGATGAGGATACAAAAGATAAGTTTGGTCTTTTTACTTTCTTTTAGCTATGGTTTATCGCTAGGCAAGTCGTTTAAAATTGCTGTGGTATGATACTTTTTATGTGAAAATACCTCGTTCGAATTTTCCTTCCAGTGTTAAAGGTTTGAAAAGAAAAACCTCGATGTAGCTCAATCTTATGTATTCAATGTTGCATCAAATGTTTGCCTAGACTGTTTTAATTGATTCTTTTTTGGAGAAAACTATGAAATTGATTATTGAGAGGTTCAGAGGTATTCACTTTGTAAGAGATTGAAGCTAGCAATTTGGCTCAGAGGTAAAACAGCTATCGTCTTTTTTTTAGCGCAGGAGATTCGTAACAACGAAGTGCGAGCATTGTTTTTCGATTTGGAGGCTCAAGTATCTGCTCGAGAACACAGTATCGGACGTAGATGCAGAGACTTCATTGCACAAGATGATCGAGCCTTTTCTGGTTAGTGAAGTTTTTGTGATAGTTGCTGTTGGATTCGACAAGAAATCTGGTAAAAAACTAAAACAAGCTTTTAGCTTGGTCGTTCGAATTTACATGGGGCATTTGAAAATAGCGATAGACATCATATGTTCAGAAACAACATGTACGTTTTTTTACTCACGTTTGAGGCACTGGAAGATATCTAGGATATATGAATTAGCATATAGCAGGCAACAAAGGCGTCTTTAGAAAAGTTTTAGGGTCCGTCGCCAATAATGGATATCTTAAAATAGTACAAAAGGGAGACCCCCTAAATCCGCCCCTAATGTGTAGTATTTTTTGAGTTTTTTTTTGAAGAGAAATGTTTCAGACTATCTGAGATCGATAACGGATTCGATTCTTCTGGCTACTCTGCCTCCGGATGAGTTCAAGTGCAGGCCAGTGCGCCATGCGATCAGAGAGATACTTGTCACTCAAGTGCTCAAACCCACCTTCGACTCCATCTGCAGTGCAGACTACATGAACACTTGTCTCATCAGGTATAGACAAACAACACGTGTGGCCTACAGTCCACTCTATATCACACTGGAAAAGTGATGAATATTCTCTTCTAAATATCTAAATCAACAGTTGAGTTACGAATAGTTTAACTAGCAACCAAATGCCTTCGTCCCTTTCAAAATAGTCAAAAAGATACCGAGTAAAAAGTCTCTTTCATTGTCGTGTTTGTAAAACGCTGTGTAAAAATTGATAGAAACGGAATCAAGAATTAGTCGTGCTGAAAACAAGCAAAAATCTTGTATCGTTCGGTCCGAATTCCCCTTGTATTTTGTTTCTTAAGAAAATTTTTCTTCTGTTGGCTCGAAATGTATCACGATATTTGCTGGTCACTAGGAGGCGAGGAAAAATTTCGATCTACAAAATAATTTGAAACTCAACGAAGACTCCTGGTTTTAAATTCAGAGCTTTTATTGACTAGTGAAACGGCCAAAATACGAGCTGTTCTTTTGTGGCCCTGTTTAGGGTACTTAATGAGGTTTTTTGAGGGAGGGAGTTGGGATTTGTGACTTCCCCTTTAAGCATCAAATACGGATCATAAATGGCTTCGAACCACCGACATTAGAACTGAGAGGCAGATAGGTTAGCAACTTAACCACCATTCCACTTATGAATCTTGGCCTGACTTGTGTGTAAAAGGAAGTGAATTTGATTAGGTATACGCCTGTTGAAAATGGAGTGCCGCCCCAGGTGGGTGTGTCGAGTGAATCCTTCTGCGAGATGGTGAGACACTGCTACAGCGTGGAGGAACTGGACGCCATTGTCGCTTTCGCACAGGACGAGAGAACCAGACTACAAACTATGGACAACTCTGGTATGTACAATTTCATAATTAAAAGCACATTCTTTATCTGAACAGTTTTCCCAGAAAAAAAAGACCCGAAAGCTGAAAATTGACGGACAAATCAGTTTTTAACAAAGCGGTTGAACTTGCATTGGGTACTCGTTTAAAAGTATGGCGCCGTTAAAAACCTCGTTTAGAAGAATGGTCCCATAAAACTACCAATAGTCCGATGTAAAAGTCAGACATAAAAGTTTTTTAAGAAAATTTCTAAATTTTGCCACTCAATTGATTTATTTGATAATTCCGTCATTACGAGGCTAAATTGTGCACTGGATATGCTCACAATTCGGTGTCTCTATGTTCCTGGATACCCGAGAAGTCTTTATACATGTTTCAAATTTAAGTGGATTCGACTTACAAAATTTCCGTGGATTCCGCGTACAATTATCTGTAGTGTAAATTTTTCGGCACATTTGTTTTGTCATGGATTCCGCAACAAGCGAATATAGCCATTTGTTCTGGATTCAGCGACTGTAAGCGGATTCCAAAAAAAAATGCAATTGGATTCGACAAATGTAACTGGAATCCGCAAATTTTATAAGCGGATTCCGCAAATGGTAAGTGGGTTTCCCAATTTTGTTTATTACTGTTTATTACATTGTTTGTGTTTATTACTTTGTTACACAAACTGTTTCGGATTCAGCAAATACTTTCGCAGATTCTGCAAATTCGCCTATTTTTGGAGCGATTTTGAGCGGTACAGTGTTATAGCTGTTTGATCGTGGAGTCCAAAACAGCTAAGAAGATCGGAGAAAAGTAACACGGTTGCGGATTCCGCGACAAATCTAAGTTTGGCCTGTTGCGGAATCAGCTTACAATTCACAAAATGCTCAGTTTGGCCTTGTAATGGTTTTTTAAAAAAAATAGTGGGAAATCTAACGAAGAAATGTTTACAAGTTTTCCTTCTGTTTTCATCCACTTGCATTACTTAGGTATAAATCAAGTTATCTGGCGGTTCACACTTCTGAACGAGATTTTGAATGGGACTCATTAAAAACGGCGGAACCATACTTTACTTTTAAACGAGTACCCTAAATTCGTGATTACATTCATAGATTACCTTCTTAGTTTTTTCATAGCTGTTTGTGTTTTTGAAAAGTCTTGCAGGTCACTGGATCTTGTTAACTATCCCCCTATGGTACCTTGTAACGAATCGCTTCCCCCCCCCCCCCCCCCCCATGATGAAAGAACTGAACAGTTAACCATATCCTAATTTTGTACCTTGTGAACTGTTTCCCCCTATTGCAATAAGGGAGATATAGTTAACAAGATTGAAGTTGCTTTCTTGGAAAGAACAGTTTGAGCGCTCTGTTTTTTTGTTCCGACTTTCGATACGAAAGTAACGGAATATTTGTGCTCGGGGTGGGTTTTTTTTCTTCAGACAAATTTCGACTTTTTAACTAGCCATTTTTGACGAATTTTTTTTTTATCATTCGAAAGGTATTGTTGTCCTGAGCTTAAATTTGAAAAGATATTTCACCTGTCATCATTTTTCGTAAAGTTATGGGGGTTTAAAGATTGCCATTTTGGCCAATTTGGGACAATTAACGCGCGATATATTTTGCGCTATTAACGCGTAAGCGGAGAGTTAATCCGTCTTATAAATCATTCCAAATTGGTTGAAAGAAGCTTATTTCCCAGAATTGATTTGTTACAAAGAGCGAAATCTTTTCTTTTTTATTTTATATGGCGTGTGGGGGGATGATTTTCATAAAAAATTTCAAATTTTAGAAATCTTTTTTCATTTAATTTTATTACATTTAATTTTGGATCAACAATTCCCCCCGCCCCACCTATGGTACCTACTTAAGAATCTCCACCCCTATAAATAAATACAGTAAATTAGCACTGAGCTTTCTATTGAGAATTATAATTTTGCTGCATTCTGATTGGTTGAAAAATCGACCATTTTGACCTACTTAACAATCTCCCCCCCCCCCCCCCTTTCTTGAAAGGGGTGGAGATTGTTAAGTAGAACCTTTATTTTTTTCATGTTACTACTGCTCCATAAACCTTAAATGGCAGTCGGAACATTCAGGGCTTCGCCCTGATACGAGCAGACTTGTTATGTTTTAGGGGACAATATTGGACTGAAGAAACAGCTGACAGCCATTAATTATCTCATTTCGGAGTGCAACCAGAGAATAGACCAGCTGCTCAGACCTTTGAAGAATTCTCAGTCACCGTCTCCCTCGTCCTCGAAGCTACCCTCAATGTTCTCTTCTTTCTCGGGTACACTTAAATTGACCAGTCAACTTGATTCCAGTTTCAGTTTGTGTACACGTAATGTAACTGATCTTTTTTGATGTTGCTGAAAAATAACGAGGGTCGTTTTATGCGTTATCGTCGTATATGTTGCATGAAACAATTACTATAAACTACTTAATTACATTAACTTAAATCCATTTCTTGAATCATTCGATGAGCGGACACACATGAAAGGAGAAATTTATGCCTATAGCCATTGTCTCAAGGCTAAGAACAGTAGTTACCGCGCTTTTAGACATCGCTACGTTCCGGACCAATCTAATTGTAGTTCAGAGAAATCAACCTTATGGAAGTTAGAGTTTGTAGGCCGCCACAAAATGTTGCCCACTCTTGCTTAAATTGGGTCTGCAACCCAATATAAATGTCTCCGAATACCATAGATACATAGATACCCGATTACCGTTAAAAATTGACCCTTTACGCCCGTGGGAGGTCAGTTTGTGTTGAACAGTAATAGCATTTATATATTCTCTAAGGACCTATTCTCAAACACATCTAAAACAACAAAGCTGGAAAACATTTTTTTAAGGGCCAAATTATTTATTCAGGGCGTAATAAATAAGGCCGCGATAAGAGAATGCCTCTAAATTCAGTCTCTGATCAGTTTCTTAGTTTTGAATGGTAAAGTGGCGTCGCCACAAAGGGTTTGGTAACCGATAGGAGCGTGAGAATTAAGCCTCTCAGAGGTTGCACGATATTAAGGCCGCGGAAATGAAGTTTTTGGTTTTCTGAGTTGATAGCGACCTCTCGTGTTCTCCACTCTCTGAATTAAAATTCGACAACTTTAGATCGATCTAACTTTTCTTCGTAGTTAGCCGTCCATGAATTCCGTTTCGAATGACTGCTCGGCGGAAATTCGAATTTTTTTGATATTCATAGACCCACCCCAATAATATTGACCTCTAGAAACTTTTTGACCATAAAATTATTAGAAAGAAAGAAAGAAAGAATTTATTTTCTCGATTGGTAAATACATTGACAAAATTAAAGTAATTTATCATTTATATACAATCGAGAGGGACAGCAAACGAGACCATGCGGTCTACCAACAGCTGCCCTTTAGTATATCATCAATAGTAAACAGCATTATGGAAGAAAAATAATGTATTGGGAAATGTATTGGGAAATTACTGTTTTAAGAGCTCCAATTTAATTGCCAAATGTATTGGGAAATTACTGTTTTAAGAGCTCCAATTTAATTTTTTTTTCAAGAAATCATTGTCTGCAATAACGTAAATTTTATGCCAGTTTTAATGTTCAAGATAATTTTATGTTCTATTTTGGCATTATATCGTTTACGTTTGCGACCAGAAAGAGTTATCGAATCGGATTATAGACTTTTTGGACAGTTTTTTAACAAAATCAGTTGAACCATTTGACAGCTTGCTTTACAATAAATCAAATTTCTGAGATTCATTAGCTTTTTTGGTCTAGAGGTAACGACTACGCCTGGGACGGTTAAGGTCTTCGTTTCGAATCCAGCGAAAACCTTTTTTTTTTCAAGCTGAAAATTCGCAGTTTCAAACAAATTGTCAACCTATTGTCTGTCTATGTTTTGCCGGTTTAGTTGCCACATCACGTTCGACCTATGTTCGACTTAGTTACGTTATTTTTGCGTCGTTTTTGCGTAAAGAAAATCAAGCTGAAACTTTTTTGGCAACAATTTTGTTTTCGGCTCAACGGGCGCTTACCTAACTTTTGCCGGCTTAGTTGCAGCTGGATAAAAGTATCTCAATACTTATCAAACGCCGGTGGTTGTTTTGCTGAATGTTTTCCCCTCAAAATGAATTCCACTCGAGACAAGCATTTGAAATATTGAAGTGGTTTCGCCCAGTGGTTAATTTTGTGTGGTGCCTCAAGCTATTTGAAGCTCCGCTTCGCTCCTTTGTCAACTCGGACCCAAAGTTGCTGTAACCTACTGATAATTTCAGTCTATCGCAATGAAAGCGTCTGTTTAGTTCCGATTAAAAAGTCAAGCCCCCTCGTTAATCATTGACCCCCCACCCGAGAATAGTTTTTCAAGAGTACCTCTTCACAAATCAGGAAGTAGTTTGTTTATTTGAATGTATTTCAGAAAACGTTATTCAGCAAAATTGTATATTTTTGTTTATGACTCTTAGTTTTTTGTTAGGTTTGAAGAATTTTTATAAAATAATTTTTTTCTAACGAGCTGGCGAAAACTGAATAACTATACCTGATTCTGTTTCAGGATTGCAATCTAGTTTCCCTTCTATAGAAGAGGATGAAATTTACAATGAAGCCTACGGGAGTGGAGAGTCTTCTAGGAGAAACTCGAACTCAATACGAAAACAGAGATCAAGTAGTTCAATGGCTGCGTCTTCGAATAGTCTGAGTTTGAAGCAGATCTTGGACTCGTTCCATGACGAGTATTTAAGTAGGCTTTTGAGTGCATTTTCCATCAATTTGTTTGTTAAGCTTCTTTCATTCAATTTTGGGTTATGTTTCAGGCTACTTGGAGAAATGCAATGCTTCGAGATTTCTACTGTTCTTTGATTACGCTCAGGTGCAGAATTTTTTTCATTTCCATTTCATTTTGGTTGGTGGGATGCATCAGAATTAATGCTCCTAATACTTGAGAACAGTAACCAGAAAACGGTTGGCGGTAACGAGCTGATCAGCTCGTTTTTGTCTTTTCTATGTAGACCTTGTTACATATAATAGGGCTCTTTCCTTTTCCTGTCAACTTGACCTAGAGTGAACGCGGTTGTCTAGTATTCTAAGGTCTTGGAATGGAATTCGGCCGGACCTTGTTTTTCTTTCAGTATGTACAAAATTGTTACACTTGCAAGTGTTGTGTTTTGGTTGTAGGCGTATCGGACGACAGTTGACGAAGTGAACTCTTACAGGGACGAGAGGATGATGGCAGCCACTTTCTCTCCCACCTCTACTGAGTCCAAAAAAGTGGTGCAGAGTCACCTCGATAAAATGAGAGACCTGGCCGAGTTCCTGCTGGATGCATATGTCAAGCTAGGCGAAGAGAAGAAGGTGAGTTGAGTGAATTTAAGTTCTAACAAGAATAGCCAGTTGCTGGGCAAGTATCACAGAATGTTCCAGCTAGAGTTAAGGAACTACCAACTAAAATAACTGATTTTTGTTGGAATTTTACGTATTGAATATTCAAAAAAAGCTTGGAGCAGGTCAAACGTGGTATCATATTGAAGCCTCTTGCTCGTCATTCTAATTCTCGAAATTAAATTTAGACCAGTCATTCACTGATAGAAATTCGATCTAATAATTTTTTGGACTCCCGACCTTAATCAACAGTGTTTTTGATGATGCCACGCTTGACGTCTCCGAGCTTTCTTTGGGTTGCCTTAATTTGACAACATCGCCATACGCTATCTAGAGGTTGTCCGAACAATAAGAGGGACTTAGTTTGGTTCAAAAGTTAGGCCATATAGAATCATTTATGTGCCCATGTGCGATATCATTCTGACAGCCTTATTTGTTTTAGTTTGATCATTAGCATGATATTTTTCAGAATTCGATTGCATACAACTTCAAAGTAGACGCTTCTGCGGTGAAAGAGTTGCGACAGAAGATCCAGAGTCGCTCATTGGAGCCTGCCTACGACTGGTTCGACAGGATGTCAGAACAGACCTATAACTTCATGCTCACTCACAAGATGCTTTATCCCTCCTTTGTCAAGAGCAGACACTACAAGCAGATGTTCCAGGCTAGTTGCGCAAATTGGACTCGAGTTTTGAAAAATTACAAATTTGAGGTTTCAAGAAAATTCATTAAATACAAGACATTTAGTCATATGGTAACTCTGATAACCTAGCTTCAAGAAAAGTTTCAAGAAAATTCATTAAATACAAGACATTTAGTCATATGGTAACTCTGATAACCTAGCTTAGAGGGAAAGAAAGATTTTGTTTACCCACAACTTGAAAGTAGTGATGACTCTTATTTAGGTCGTGATGGTTTTATGCTTGTTTTTTTCTAGGAAAAAGTTTTGAAATTTGTTCACGCTCAAATTTGATTTTTCGCGGATTGACTTTTCATTTCTTTTCAAGTTTAGCTTTTTGTGTGAAAAGGAAAGCAAACTCTACAATCGAAAAACAAAAATTTAAAGGTCGCGATAAACTTGATCGATTTTTAGTTGAGTGTAAAAGAACGAAGTGAGTTTTACTTATATATATAATGATGATTTCGTTGTTTTTTGTTCAGGAAAAAATCTTCGAATTTGTTTACGCTCGAATTTGATTTTTTTCATTATTTTTTGAGTAAGTTCACTTCTTATACTTTGCTAAATTAAAGCAAACTCCACTTCAGAGAAACTAAAGTGGTAAGGCCACGAAAAACGTGAATGACAAGTAGTTCTAAAGAAGAAATTTTTTTTTGAATTTCTAGACGAATAAAATAATTAAATTTTGGTCAGGTTTTCTCTTGATGGGTTAAGAGCCTTGTTTCGACTTGCATGCGTGCCTAATAGAATGCGCAATTATAATAGCCACTCACTTGGATGCCACACGTATCGGTTTGAATTTTAGTTACAAATTTGACAAACAAACTCAATTCTAATTGCGCTAAAAGCCGCATCTTAAGTTGGAAAAAAAAAAAAATTCAAACAATTTTTTTCAGCTTCCTTGTTCCTTTTATCAATTTCCAACTGTCTGTTGGCTATATTTACTCTTGCGAGTTGCAACCGTTATGAAACTTGAATATGACTTTTTTTCGGGTTAACAACTTGCTTAACAGAATCAATTGTATCTTGGTTCATAATGAATTCAAACTTTTATGCGTTCCCGGCCAACTTAACCTGGATTTAATGAATTTGCCTAGGTCGGCAAAGGTCTTAGGTTCGACTTGAACCAGGACTTGTTTTTCCAAACGAAATATTCTGTTTCAAAAAAGAATTGTCGGCCAATTATTTGCCTGATTATCTGTTGTCGACTTAATTGTCACATTTTGAAATCGTTTTTTTTTGCTGCGCGCATTTTTCTCTAATGGTGCTTTTAGTGTTTGATTTACTCCTAGAATTTGTATATTTACTAACCTTGACTTCGTTTTTCCTTCTCTGTCGGAAACTTTTTGGGTCCGATTTTTTTGGCCTATTTTTTATCGACTTAATGACCTAGTTTTGGGTCGTTTTAAGGGAAACGCGACATGAGCATTCCCCTCCGCTTTTTTCATGAAGGATATATTTATCAATCGATTTGTTGAAATTTTTTCTTTTTTAAAAATGAGAAATTATTTTTCTCATTGGAAAAATAAAAGTCATTGGAAAAGTTTTAGTTTTTCTCAGAAACTTCTCCTGATTTTCAAAAGGATATCAATTGAAAAAATGCCTTCTCCCCTGTGTGCCTGTATATTCCCCCTAGAGCCTTTTTTTGACCCTCTTGTCTACAGCCTTCGAAAAAGTCTGTGGGGTATTGTTTGACCCTTATTTTTGATTTTTATTTCGTTATCTCGAAAAATACCCCTCTCAAATCTGAGTTTTTGGTATTAAGGAATCGAAAGTTTTTGAAAAGCTCCCTGTATGAGTGGTTTCACGCAAATTAGTTTTTTACATATAAATTTATGGCCCTCGGAACAGTCAAATCTTTCATTTTTGAACGTGTCTTAAACTTTTGATTTTTTGATATATTTTTTTAAACTTTTTAAATATTCTCGAAAACTACCCTGCCGTATTTGAGACTTTGGACTCAATTCAAAGAACGGGTTGAGAAAGGTCATTAGCTTATAGGAGTGCTCCAAAACTTTTCAGACACCAAATATTGCGGCCCTCGGAAATGTCAAAATTTCGGTTTTTTGACTGTTTTTTTTAAAAAGTTTTTGACATTTCTCGAACTACCCTCCCAAATTGAGATTTTGGATTCAATCGAAATTATACGTTGAGTGAATCACTGCTGCATGAGCGGATGCACCTTTTTTGTACACAAAAACGCTATGATTCTTTGTGTCGCATCAGGATAGTTTAGAAAGTGGGTTTATTTTTTCAGCAGTGGAATAAAAAAACCTATTGATTTTAAAATTGGGTTAAGTTAAGAAAAAATTGCCCATCATAAGTTGTTGTTGAAATTCAGAAAAGCTTTAAGGCCATATTTTTTCTTTGAAATTCGAAGTTGACGTTTTTTTTTTTCAAAAAACAAATAGATGTCTTTTGGCTATGTTTAATACATCATCGATGATAGAGGGCATAGACGTAAGCCTTATGTAAAGTCGACTTAATATTTACCCAGATAATTGTTAAAATAAATATAATAACCCAACAAAAAATGACTTTTTTTTTGAGAAAAACTTATTTCTTTGATAGTTTTCTCATTTAGATGATTTATGATGTTATTTTTGTTCAAGAATGACGATAGCACATCATGAGGTATCATTTTTTGTCATACTACAAGAAAAAATAACAAGCTTGCGGGTGAGAAAAATAGATCAAAAAGCTTCGAAACACGTCTATACCTCCAAACCTGGAAAGATTTGCACGACCATATTTTCGTGATAGATTCACAAATTAAATCCCATCTTCTGCACCAGGTTGAAAATGTTTTTTCTAACCAGTTTATCCCGAATATTTTTTGAGATGAGTTATATCATGAGAAAACAGTAGTAGTTTATTGCTGTCCAAGTAGCTCAAAACGTTTCCAGCACAGTAATTAATTCAGTAATTAAAAACAGTTTAAAAAACAAAATAAAAGTTAGAAAGCGATTAAGTTTTTTTCATCACAATTTTTGTGTCTTAACAGTAGTGGATTTAATTTAATCTTGAGTTAATGTTTTACGAGATTTAATTTACCTTTAATTAACCATACGAGATTTAGTTAACCATACCTAATTCTGCAAATCAGTTTGTCTGAAAAACTACACTAGTGGAGACCAGGTGGTCGGAGCAAAAAGCACAGGACACTTTTTCAAGTCTGAATGAACGAAGTGAAGACACTTAATTCAGTCGTGATTTAATTTTTTCCTTTTTTTGTCAAGGAAGTATGAAAATTTGTACGAAGGTAAATAACGCTCTCGATTAACAAACTATGCGTTTAATCGTTCTAGGTTGGATCTCATATGCCGAGAGGTACATCGGCTTCCTTATCAGATGAGTACTCTTTGAGTTCATCCCTAGAAGACACACAGAAGATGTCCGACATCAAAGAGGACGATGAGGAAATATTGACCTCTATTTCCACCTTGGTGAGGAGTACTGTACGCGTTTAAATGAAACTCAAGATATTCATTTTTGAAAATAAGCAGTGCATGCAAAGTAAATTTGGTAGTTTTTTGCGACACTGCATTTCTTATGCAGCACTCTGCATGAAATCGCATTCTTCATTGCATTATTAATAAATAACAGCGACATCTTTTATGAAGTTCTGTTAAAAGCGACCAATCATTATAAAAAAGAAAAAATGAATCTATTTTTCTATAAGTAGTTCATTCGAAAAAAACTCCGCAAATTTATTAAGAATTAATTTTTTCCGATTAATGCTGCATAATAATGGAGAGGATAGGCGAAAGGCATGCGTCAATGGCTACTGAGAGCCTACCCTAATTTATTTTAATTCCAAGAATTCAACTGGTTCACTGATATATGTGAAGACAAAAAACGTGAATATATACCAAACTTAGACCAGATATCTCCGCAAACTTAAATCTGTTGTATTTATTTGAAAACAGATGTGAAATTTTTGTTCCGATCATTGAAAATGGTTTAGTTTTTTTTGTTTTCCACGCAAAATCAGCTACCACAAATAATCATCGGACAGGGTTGAGTGATATATCATTTTAAAGCCCTTTCAGTCGAGATTCGAACGACATTAACAATTTCAAAAAAATGTTCTCGAGAAAAATCGGTTTGAAAGTTTTTGATTAAGGTTAGCGTGCTGGCTTAAAATGGCTGATTTAAGCTTAATTCAAGTCGTGAAATTTTTGTTTTCATTGAGCAAAGTTAGGTTTTGGGGTTCTTTCGCGTCGTTTTGGGAATCAAAGTTTTCAGAAATTCAAAAAATTCAGCAAAAAACTTAGAAAAGATTCGTGAAATTATAATTTTTTTAAACGGTTTTCTTTCGTTTTTTTTTTAATTTTCGCTTAGTGTCGAGAAAAACCGATTTGAAATTTTTGATTTTTGGTCTAATTTCGAGCTAATTAGTAAGTTAGTTAATAATTGCAATAGCTTATTTAAGCTTAATGTAAGCCGTAAAAACTTAGTTTTACTCAAGCAAAAATAGTTTTTGGAGTTTATAGCGCAATTTATCATTTATCAAAACCTTGAAAATTCAAAAAATGTCCGCAAAAAAGTCCGCACCTACATAAGGGTTAATTAAACAGAATAAACGCTAAGAAAACATAATTATTGAAAATAAAGAGGCAAAATTCTGAATCTCCAAAGATGTAATTGTTATTATTTTATGTGCGAAAGCAAAATTTGTTGACTGCTCGTTCGACCAACATGATCAGGCATTGAATTGTTTTCGCATAAAATTTTAAAATCTTTGATGAACGATTCTGCATCGACACAGATGTAGTTTTCTTAAAGCGCGCTAGTTTTTTTGAAAGCTTGCCACGAACATTTTCGGGTATTATATGCAAATTTATTTTTGAAAAAAAAATTTGTTTGGAAATTGTAATAAAATGCAATTTGTTGATTAATCAATCGAAGACAAAATTTGAGCAGATAGTAGATGAACAGTTCATGGATTGACAATTTAGCAGAACGAGACAATTTATGTCTATAGTCATTGGGTCAGAACTAGGAACACTAGTTACCGGACGTTTAGACATGGCTGCATTCAAGGCTAACCTAAATGAGATTCAGCGACATTAACTTTGTGAAAGTTACAGTTCTTAGGCCACTGCCAAAAAATCACACACCCTTTCTTAAATTGGGTTAACAACCCCATATAATGGTCCCAGAATACCCTAAATACGGTATTACCATTAAATTACGGATTTTTTGCACCCGTGGGGGGTCAGTTTTTGGTGAACAGAACAAGCCTCGATTTATCCTATATGGATCTACTTTCAAACACACCTGCCTCAACAAAGCCGGAAAAGGGCCAAATCGGTAATTCTGTGATAATAAATAAGGCCATGATGGGATAATGCTTTCAAGTTCACTGTCTAATGAGTGCCTGAGTTCAGAATGATAAATTGGCGTTGCCTCAAAGAGTTTGATAACCCATGGGAGGGTGAGCATTAAGCCGCCCAGAGGCTGCTGAACAAAACCACAGCCGAGAAATTACGATTTTCTTGGTTTTCTGAGTCGCCGGTGGCCTCCACCGTTGCTCTCCGCTCTCTGAGTTATTATTCGACAACTTAAGATTGATATATTTTTTTCTATCTTAGTTAACCATCCACGAAATCCAGTGTCATCTTTTTTTTCCGCCCAAATTAACAGAACATCAGTTCGAAGTTCTTTTGCTCAACATTGAATTTGTTTTCGTATATGGCCGACTCGCGCAGCTTCGTAGACGCAACCCCCTCAGATTCTTCTTGATCTCTTCGAAGTTAAAGGGGTCTGAAAATACCCTACCAAAAAAACTTTTTGCCATAATTTTGTATATCCCTCATATTGGAAAATACCGTTTTTAAGGCTCCCATTAAAAAAAATTGTTTTCAATAAATCAGTAAGTGTGTACGACAAATTTTTTCGTTCGAGACAATCGTATACACTTATTAGGCACGATAATATTTACGCTTGAGACTAGCTAGCGTAATGGAATTGGAATATTTCAGGTTAACTTGTTTCACAAAATCAGTTAAATCATTTGATAGCTTGTTTTAAAATTAATCAAATTTTGTAGCTTCTTTGGTACGCTTAATCTATCTAGAGTTCACAACTAGGCCTACTACGATAAAGACCATATGTTCGAATCCAGCCAGGCCGTCGTTTTAAATGGAATTTTTTTCGTTTCAAAAATTTTGTCGACCAGTTTATAAAACTGTTTAAAGACCGACAATAGCTTATTATATTGAATGTTTTGGAATTTTCCAGACTCTGTAGATGTGAAAAATCATCCAAAAAAGCATCCAATCGATTTTGAAACTTAAATAGCACAATCATTATCCTTCGAAGTAGTTAGTTTCAAAATTTGTAATTTTTACTTGAATTCAAACTTTAAGGTCTGCTTTGAATGGTCTTTGGCCGCCATGATATTCTTATTGTGTAGGATAATATTGTGGTGCCTGGCGCAAAACGATCAGTGATTGATTTGCTTCTTGGCGAACGTGAAGGCAGACGATGAGCTATTGAAATACCTTCATCCATCGGCTCCTCGGGATATGTCTAATTTTTTGTCATTGTTTCCACAGTTTCATGCTTTTTGTCAACTTGCAGATTCTAATCGTTCGGCTTCAGGGAATGTTTTCAGCTTATTTAAACTAGATTGTGTAGTGATCTTTTTCTTTGCTGAGGACTCATCTTGTTCATGGATTTTTCAATAGCTTTATTGCTTAGAGTTGGAAATTCTCCTTTGATGTTGTTAAATTACATGGAATGACGGTTTATAGCGAATTTATAATAGTTTTAAGCGAATTAGTAATTTTTCATCTCTCAAACAAAAATCTTTTTCAAGGCACGGGCTCACGGCTGATCATTGACGTTCCGTCGAAGGATTGATAATTGGCGCATGATATCGTGGCCCTGGTATGACTTTCATTTGGCCGTCCTTGAAATTATTTCACCCTTATAAAAATTATTATGCTGCGTTATGTAATTCGGATTTTATACGTTTGTAAAGGTCTTCACACAATATGTCATGTTAGTTGCTGAGCAGCTAGTGGCTCTACATTTAAGTTGAGCGTTTTTGTTTGTTAAATAGTGTGATTCTCTGCATGAATACTGCTTGTTTCTTGAAAATGGCTGGATATCCCAGACAAAAAAGCGTCCATGCATTGAAAGTAGAGATCAGTCAAATGTGAAGAGTGAAAAAGGTGAAAAGTTTTCAGTTTTTTAAAAGGTAAAAAAGTGGAAAGTGAAAAAGGTGAAACGTTTTCAGTGTTTTTTTCCACAGAAAATTAGCGTTGAGATACGTTTTTAATGCACAGAAGAGCCCTTTTGTTCAAGTTGGCTGCTAGTTTAAGTTGTACAACATTGAAAAAATTGAAATTTACTATATAATTGTACTATATACAATTTTTCGAGAACTAAGTTTTTCCGTCTGTTAAATGCTCAAGTGGTGAATTGTTAACTGCTAAAACTGAACTTAGAATGCCGGCAGTATGTAAGGCCGGTAGTAATCCTTGTAGTATTTCTGTAATGAAAGTAATGGGTCGTTTGTTGTTTGAATATTTTTGAGCCGGATGACAATTAAACAAGAAATAAGGGATAAAACTGCTTGTTCATGATAAAAATTAACTTCCTTCTCCAAATAAATAATTCAACATTTCGGTGACATCTGGCACCATCATCAGGAACTGAAAAATAAGCTAAATTAAGAACAGAGCATCAGAATGTGAAAAAAGCACTGTTGAGTGAGTAAACACAAAAAGTTAAATAGACATCAAAGTGAACAAAAACTCAAAAAATTCAACAACAAAAAGCACCTAAGCGTGGGGAAAAAGGAAAATAGCACTGAAAAAGTTAAATGATAAAACAGCTAGAAAATACTTAAAATGATTTAATCTGACTGTTTATTCAAATCACATTTCTGATGTTTAATGTGATATGCCTCCGTGAAAAGAAGTTCACGCCAGGAGGAAGATCACGAGGTGATCATAGATGACAGAAACACCTCCGGACTGTTTACTGACATGTTCCCTGAACCTCTGGTGTAAAAGTTGTCAAGTGACTCCCTCATAACGAGAATTACATCCCGTTTCTGAACAACGTGGTTCTGAACCGTTTGTGGACTCGTTATGTGGGCGTCACGCGACGAAATTTACACCAGAGGTTGAGGGAACATGTCAGTAAACAGTCTGGAGGTGTTTCTGCCCTCTATGATCACCTCATGATGCACGACGTTCGACCATCCATCGAAGATAATTTGGAGTGTTTTGAAGTCCTTGAGAAGTCTTCCTCCTGGCGTGTCCTTCTTTTCACGGAGGCGTATCACATTAAACATCAGAAATGTGATTCGAATAAACAGTCAGATTCCATCATTTTGAGTCTTTTCTAGCTGTTTTATCGTTTAAATTTTCCAGTGCTATTTTCCTTTTTCCCAATGTTTACGTGCTTTTTTGTTGAACTTTTTGAGTTTTTGTTCATTTTGATGTCTATTTATCGTTTTGTGTTAACCCACTCAACAGTGCTTTTTTCACATTCTGATGCTCTGTTCTTAATTTATCTTATTTTTCAGTTCCTGATGATAGTGCCAGATGTCACCGAAACGTTGAATCTTTTATTTGGAGGAGGAAGTTAATTTTAATCGTGAACAAGCAGTTATCCCTTATTTCTTGTTAAACGTTTTTTGTTTGTTTAGAGAAACGAAGAGGAAGTGTTCGACAGCCCAGCAGCACATGAGGGACCGAGTGCATGTGGAGTGTGGGCCGAAATAGTAGACTATCGTAAGTGTCTTTAGTTAGGTATTTAGTTTAAACGGTTGCTGTGCAAGTAACGCGAACAGAATGCTACAACCGCGGCAACTTGAGCTAAAAATAATTTTAAAAAACATGGGAAAAATTAGAATTTTTTCCATTTTTTTTTATTAAAGGAGGTATCAATTAGATGTTATTCTGTAATATTGAGATGATTGTAGTTAAAAAAAGTTCAAAATGGAGTAGAATTTGATAGTAATATTATTTGTCTCGCCTAGTCTGATGTCCAAATTAGTCTGAAAAACGGAAAAAATATTGTTCCGTTTTTTAAATTATCTGAATCTTGAGCAATAGCGCTTTAATATGAAACCATACTTGGCTCTGGTACTTAAAATATGACTAGAACTCCACCCTACGCCTTAGCTCCTTCAAGTTACTTTTGGTAGATGGTCGGAACAGTAAGTCCTCATTTTGATTGATAATTATAGTCAAATTAAGTAGCAACGCCGTTTCAGCTGCTATTTTTGAGCATCTCCATCCCCACAGTGCAGCTTAACTGGAGTGAGTATAATTGGACTCGTGCTTTCGAAATAATAATAAGCATCGATAATTCTTTTATCAGTGTCAAAAAATGCCAAAGTGTCAAACCAAGTGTAATAATATAAAAACAGCTTTAGTTTACTAAAATAAAAAGGTTTGTTTTTTCTTTTGATAGAAATAAGAGACGAAGGCAAGCGACATGCAGTATACGAAATAGCAGTTCATACTTCACTTCAAGCCAGGCCGACCCACTCCAGGAAATCACCAGAAGAAGAATTCTACAAGATCTACAGACGGTACAGTGACTTCGCCAAGTTGTACGAGGAGTTGAAAAAGAAGTACAGCTCAGTGGAAGGAATTAAGTTTCCGTCAAAGGGAATGCCGAGTAATATAAGCGAGCGACTGTTGATTAAGAGGAAGGACCTGCTGGGGAGTTTTCTCCAGGTTAGCCGCCGTGCTAGACTTATTTGAATCTGATTTGAAATAACGTTATTTGTTACACTATCGAGCTTGTGAGCGTTTGTGTGTTAGTACGAACATTCTTTTTTTTCGAACCCAACTCGCAAATAAAAGTGTTCCCTTGTTTGGTGGCACTTTTGCTATAATCACGATCTGTAGCATCGAAAATTGCATAGCATGTGTTCTCTGCTTTATTTGTGGCTAGTGTTTTTGATTTATTAAGCGTCCTTGGCTGAGTGGTTAGTGTGGGAGACTCATAATCTCGAGGTCGCTTATCGAATCTAATCCAAGACGTATCCGATTGTTTAGTAGTTCTAGGCTTATTTCTAACATTTTTTTGTACTTTATAGTGATGCTTTTTGCCATGTTTTCGCTAGTGTTTGCGAAACACAGCTTCGCCTGTATTGATATATAATTTTTAACCTCTCTTGAATTCAGTTTAATTTTGATTACACTTGCGAGAGCAAGTGACTTGTAACCGCGATCTAGACTTTCTTCCCTTAAACAACATTTCTTGGAAGCTGTTATTAAGAGTCGAAAAACGCAGTTCCAGACTCCTATTTAAGGAGCAATGATTTTTTAAATCAAAAGTCCTAAAATTGGTTAAGGCTCAAATTTACTTTTTCGCGGTTTGATTTTTGATTTCGTTTTAGCTTCACTTCATTTCCTTTGTTAAAAGGAAAGCAAACTCTACTATCGAACAGCAAAATGTAAAGGGCGCAAAAAATGTGATCGATTTCTGGTTTCGAACGTGGAACTTGATTGTCAGTTTTCTTAGTGAAATAATAATTTTACTTAGTATTCCAGTTTTCTTAAATAGGGTTAATTTTATCAAAAAAGTTGCCATCATAATTTGTTCTAGAAATTTTAAGAGCTTTTTGGGCATGTATTTTCTTTTTCTTTGAAATTTGAAAGTTGAGATTTTTCAAAACAAATCAGTTTTTTTTGTTTACTTGCGTTCATTCACTCTTTTCCAACTGTATGTTAATTGAAGTTGCTATATTATCGAACCTTCGCAACTTCATGGGTCCTTCCCGTCTGCTGGTAACGCAGGTGCCTTTGAACCGTAAGGTGTTTCAGTATAAATGAAATTGAAATTTTTTCCGGAAAAAAATTAATTTTCAGACTTTCGTTGGTCTGCTTATTTTTGTCGGCTTAATTTCCAAAGCATGGATATTTTTGGATTGAAAAAATTCTTACTGAGACCCAAAGTCGTCCGGTTGTTTCGTCAATTTTTCAACTCGTCGTTTAAGTATTTTTTTCTAGTTTCCATTTTTTAAGAGTCGATGAACGTAGTTCTGACTCGTATACAGGTCGTGATGTTTTTTTTGTCTATGTTTTTCAGTAAACGTCTTAAAATGCACCAATAAATACGGAAAGTGCATTAATACTTATTAATGCATTTCTGAATGCCCTTAGGTATATGTGTTTTTCTTGAGTTCAATTCAAGTTCATTTGCTCCAAGGCAGGCAAAATTTGCTCTCCAATTACATCAGAGCAAATGGCGCGAAAAAACGTGATCGGTTTTTAGTTTCGAAATTGGCATTCAATTTTCAGATTTCCGAGTGGAATAAAATTTTTACATAACACTCAAGTTTTGTCAATTTTATCAAAAAGTGCCAATAATAAATTGTTCTCGAAATTCAAAGCGATTTTAGGCCATATATTTTGTTCTTTGAAAGTTTTTTTTCTGTATTTTTGCTTTTATCAATTCTTTTCCAATTGTCTGATGGCTATGTTTTTCAATTCGTTTCGCTTTTGATTTAAATGGCTTAAATCAGTGTGGTATATGATAATAAAAGCTCAGTAAGTGTTAACGAAAGCTTATTTAATGCTGGTGGTTGTGTTTTTCTGAAATGGAATTTTTTATTTAAAAAAAATCAATTTTCAAACATTTGTCTCGACTCAATGGTTTCCGTCTCATTTTCTTTTCGCTAGCTTGCAATGATACGTTGTTTTGCCTCTGTATTAGCAATTTGTGACTTAGTGTGTCAAATTCTTGCCAACTTGTTGTATGATTTTAATGGTAGAGTCCTTGCTTTAATTTTCAAGAAATTTTATTCGCGAGTCGTTGATTGGTAGTCATCTCATCGGTTAGTGAGGTAACTTTAGCAAACTGAGAGATTTCAGTATTAAGCCGAACTGTTTATTCAATATTTCAACTGGTAACAATGTATTTATTTTGGGATGCTGTTTAGGAAATCCTGAGTCCCGAGATAATATCCACGAATCCAGGAATGCTTCAGATTATTCACAGTTTTCTCAGCCCCAATTTCGTTGCAGAGAAACTTTCCAAGGTGAGTTATGTCTTACCTCCCAACTTGTTTCTCAAGTAAAATTTGACAACATTAATTATTGTGTAAAAATTCATCTTTGGCCTAATTAGACTTAAAAAAAACTTCAAGTTTACAAATGATTAAGCTAATTTCAAGGCTGATCAGTGGGCTTGATTACACTTGCGATAGCAGGTGTTATATAATCAGGTCTTTTTCGGGCTATTAAAATTTTGAACTTCTTTTCAACAAGTCTTCTGTTTTTACCAAGTCATTACGAAGTCCATTCTTTTCTCATCCAATTTGCAAATAAAGTGGCTCATTTGGTTGCTTTTTTGCTGACCTAACCTAAACGATCAAATAGCATTTGTTGTACCTGCTATGATGGTAGTTTTGACTATTGATTTTCAAGCGACAATTGCCGAGATGCGAGGACGTCAGATTCTTGATCTTCAGAGCGATGGTTCGACTCCGGTACAATTCGCATTTTTTTTATTTTTTCTAATTTTTTTTCCTTTTACACTTCTTATAACCTGTTAGAAGCTGTTTTCTCCGTTTTATCGCTGGTGTTTGCGAATTTAACGTTCGCCTCTGTGTTTTGATTGATTGGCGATGCTTCAAATTGTCTCATTGCACCAGCAAAGGCTTTTATGTCCAAAATACTCGCATAAATTACTGCATAAACTGCTTATTTAGGCAATGGCAATTTATTAGGTGCTGAGTGTTTAAGAGTCGATGAACGTAGTTCACACTCTTATATAGGTCACGATGGTTTTTTCAGGAAATGTCTTACAATTTTTTTTTGGCTCAAATTTACTTTTTCGAGGTTTGATTTCTTTTTAAGTTCAGTTCCTTTCCGTTGTTAAAAGGAAGGCAAACTATCGAACAGCAAAAGTGTAAAAGGTCACGAAAATCTTATTCGATTTCCAGTTTCGAAAGTGGAATTTAATAATCGAATTATCCAGCGAAATAACAATTTTATCTATTCATCCAGTTTTTAAATGTGTTCATCCAGTTTTTAAATGTATTCATCCAGTTTTTAAAAAAAGTGTTAATCATAAATTGTTCCAGTAATTCAAAGGTTTAAGGCCATCTTTTTTTTTCTTGGAATTCGAAAATGAGATTTTTTTTCAAAGTTTCATTGACTCTTTTCCAACTGGCTGTTGGCTATGTTTGAAGATAGCGAGAGGATATTGCGCAGCTGGCTGGATTTAGGGAACTAACTGCGAGGGCAGTGGTTTGAATTCCGTTTTGGGTAATTTTTTTTTAATTTTCAAATCATTTTGTTTTCTTGCATTTTAATGCTGCCGTTTGGATTTGCTTGTGCTTACGAATTGCAGCCTCGCCTCTGTGTTAATTTTAATTACAAGCACTGATTAAAACAAAAAATTACGATTTTTTAATTAACATTTAAATAAAAAATTGGCAACGTTTTCAATTTTCACTAGCACTCGAAGTCTTTTCACTGATAAGTGTGACGCGATTATGCTGTATTGATGAGTGGCATTAAGGGGCGGAATTATGGGCGTTGGCATGCTGGAATGAGACACCCTGGCCAACCCCAAGGGTCCAAAGTTCGTACCCTTTTGTAAACTTCTGATTTTGCGAGAGTTGGTGTATTAGAACGAACCTTCTTTTTTTCTAACTTAACTCGCAACTAAAAATTTTCATTTAATTGGTGTCAGTTTTGCTATAATCACAATCTGTAGCATTGGAAATTTAATATCATGCGTTTTCTGCTTTTTTTTGTGGCGAACGTTTGTGATTTATTGAGTGTCCGTGGCTGAGTGGTTAGTGTGAGACTCATAATCTTAGGTCGCAGAGCAAATTCGAGACGTAGCCAAGTTTTTACTAATTTGAGGCTTATTTCTACCTTTTCTTATTGCTTTTTATAGTGCTGCTTTTTGTAGCGTTCTCGCTAGTGTTTGCGAAGCGCAGCTTCGCCTCTGTACGATGCTTATTTTGAGTTGACCTTATTTTAAAAAAATTTGGGTAAATAACGTTTTTTTTTGGTGATTTTGAAGAGCGAGGAAATTACGATGGTCGACTATGAAGAATTTCAAGAAAAAAATATTTTCTTTATTTTCAGTGCGTCTTTTTTTCGGGTCTACAATTTCGTCGATAAAGAATTGACGAGTTGTATTCTTTGGGCCTGTCTTTTTCTGCAGGGTCTAATAGAACAATTTAAAGGAAACTCTCGAAATAGCTAATTGTTGATACTTTATTAAGTTGTAGTTCCGTACATATATTTTTTTCTTGAGTTAGCAAGTAAAGAGAAGCTCTGGTTCACCTTTGTGTAAAAATTGCTTCTTGGCTACTTGTTTAGATGTTGATGAATCAAAAATCTCAGGTGGCTCAAACTAATAATTAGTGTGGTGACAGTTTAGCAAATCTCGTACATTTGGTTTTTCAATTAGTTTTTCAGTAATTGGATGCTTTCGGGTTGTATACGTAGGGTTGCAAATCTATGCTGAAAATATGGCTTTCTGATTCCTTCTAGTTTTCGAGATATTGATGTTTTTACGCTTTTTCTGAATTTTTCTGACGCAAAAAAAGTAATTTAGAAAACGGGAAAGGAATTTTTTCCCCTTCCATCTTAGGAAGCACAGATTTGGATAGGTATTTTTTGTATTTTGTGACCATTGTGTTGCATTGGGTGTCCAATACCTTGAAAAAAAAAACTGTGAACAGGAAAACAGAAAGGAGGGAGAAAAACTAAAATGATTTGAAAGAGAAAAAAAATATATGTCGATTTAATTTGTGTAATTTATTGTGATTTATCATATTATGTATACTGGAGAAATAAGTTATTCTTCTTGTTCTTCTGCTCGTTTGATTTATTACCCCCGCTCGTCGTCTGTATTTAGGATTTGCGATCCAACAGTAGAACAGAAGGTAGGAAAGAATCGACATCCTCAATGAGGCCTTCTCTGATGTCATATTCCTCCACTTCTGTCGCCTCAAACAGATCAGCCAATGAGGATATGACGTCATTAGATGAGAACGTGGACATAGGCATGGGAAACACGGGGATCGTGAGACCCTCTTACAGACCACAGGTGGTAACCACGTCTAGACATACCTGGGGGGAACGGTGATGAAGTGCTCTAGGTTTCTTCCTAAGAAAAATGCCCAGAAAAATTACCAAAAATTTGTTTGTAGTTCATGACTAGGGTCACAACATCTTTTTCCTTAGTAAAACCATGTGTTGTTCCTTCAACTCATATGTTTTTCTTTTCCATCGTGGATAAGTTGTCTTTGCTTCATCATCGTTATCGTTAGAAATCATATTTTTCTGGATTTTTTCTCACCAATGCTGAAATAGAAGAAGTTTTGCATGTTATGCTGTAAATTGTGAACATCAAATATGTAAATAACTTAAATGATGCATGTTGATCTGTTTTTTGCTTAGAGTTTTAAAATGAACGGAAAAAAAGGTATGTTGCCTGCTGTGTTATGAGATCAGCTAAATAGCAACATGTGTAACTTTTAAGCGGTTGTCCACCAGCGCTTTTGGATCCATTGTTGGCATCGCTTCGTCGACCGATCAGGACCTGGCACCCGAGACTCTGAAGAGACTGATCGACCTCTTCTTCGAGATCTTCGACGTCAAAGCGGGCAGTGGAGGGGATTGGAATGTGGTGCGAGACCAGTTGGCCCATGCTATATCCAGAATGTTAAGAGCTACTTTTGGGGATAGAATCAACAGGTAGCTTTGGACTTCACTTCATTTTTTTAGGACCTTGAATCATAACTGGTATAGGCAGCGTGCGATTTTAAATGCCTCACATTTGTTAGGCGAATTTGTTTGAGTAATGTTGATCTTCAAAAATTTGTAACTATGAGGCTAAACATTGCGTGAACTTGAATTTAGACAAGCCTTGCAAAATAAAAAACACGACGTAAAATAGGTAGTGTTTTTTCAGTAATTTCTTAAATATTAATCACACTCCAATTAGATTTTTTTGCGGTTTGACTTCAGATTTCTTTTGAAGTTTAAATTTTAAAGAAACTTCTTAAAAGGTACGAAGTGCTTTCCATACTCAGCTTTCCGTTTACGAAGTGAAAATAACGCGAAATATATGATTGATTTTAATTTTCAGGTGTTTAGTGGAATTAAGACATTAACCAGTAATCCAACACAAAAAGTTTTAATTGTAAAAGATTCTTGTTATTAAAAACCTTAATCGCGATAGGTTTTTTCTAAGTCAACAGTATGACCTCGATTCAACTTAAAACCTAGACAGTACCGCCTAGCTTTTTTTGTGAAACGAACGAATGAAAATGCAACCTTTTTTCTTGAGAGTTTTGCTTTTTACGCAAGATTTTCAAATGAGAAGTCGATAACCAACTTATGCCAATCAACTTGAACTAAATTTTCTTTAAAATTGTTCTTTAAAAATTTGCTTGAAAAGATATAACTTTCCGCGAACTGATTCAAACTATGATAGGAAATTTTTTGCAAAGTTTCATCGATTGATTGTGCTTTTTTACACAAGCATAGCTTTTGTTATAGTATGAACTCTCTTTTTCCGACCTAAGTCGCAAATATTGTTGCGATGCAATTTTTACCACAAAATGTGTTCATTTCGACTATTATATTACAAGTAGCACTTTAGCTTCAAGGTATCATGGATCTGTAGCGTAGAGGTAGGGAAGGAGACCAGCAACAAAATAAGAGGGTTCGAACCTGGACAGGGTCGGACGTTTTTAATGAATTTTTTCGTATACTATTTGAAATGCGTCCGCTCTATAAATTGAGGCATGTTAGTTGGTTAATTTCCTATTTTTTCAAATTGACTGGTACTGCTAATGCGTCATAATTGGCTTGCGTCACTTAGCAATTATGTAACTCATAATTGGCGTTCTTTAAGAAATTTTGTAGACTCAAAGTTCTACTCATTCAGTTTTTCCCAGTAGCGTTATCGGTCATATTTTTGCTTGTGTTTGCGAAGTGCAAAATCGCCTCTGTGTTAAAAAATATCTCGAACACATGAAATACTTGTTTTAATTCGTCAATGATGATCAATGTAAATAGAGGCTGGGATGTCATGGCAATCCTTTTTCACTTCTTTTCAAAGTTTTCAGCAGCGCTAGGAGTTAAAAGATCTCGGCGTTCCTATTGAAAAGCTTAAGTTAGCCGGAAAAGACTTGTCTCTGCTGGATTCTCTGCCGGAAAAGAGATTCCAGCAGAGACAAGACTGCTTGTCTATGCCGGAAAAGACTGCTAGAATCTCTGAGTGTCCTTATATCCTTCCGGCATTCTGGCTTGAAATTTGAGAAGGAACACTAACGAAGTTTTGTGAGGCGTAGTATAATAGTGCTTCGATTTTTTTCTAACCTAAATAGCAAATATCGGTGCCATTTTTGGTGGCAACTTTGCGGTTTTTTGATTGCATGTGCTTTGACATTCGAATAGTATTAAGTTGACATAGTTGATGTTTTTTTAATTCATCAAATGAACCTAAAAAAGCTATTTGTTTCAAACAACATAAAATTTATAGAAACTCGATTTCAGAAAGCTTCTAACTAAATATAACTCGCAATTTTTTGAAATACATGATTTATACATAATGTGACTTAGTGCTTTCCAATTTATTACGTGCAGAGTTAGTGTGAATGCCTTCAGTTTGTTATGCTCCAAATTTTTACTTGCAAAATGGTTTCTAATGTATTTGGTGCTACTTTTGCTGTATCGCATAGGCGATTTTTTGGAATATGTAGCTGCTTTATATGTGATTAGTGTTTACACCAGCCAAGCTTGTGTGATAGTGTGAACTCTTTTTTTCCAACCTAAGTAGCAAATATTAGTGTTCATTTTGATCAATAACCAGCTATTAATTACAGCCAATGCTAAGGATATAAACACAATTTATTATACTACAAATAGCACTTCAGCTTCGAGGTATCGTGGATCTGTAGGGTAGAGGTAGGGAAGGAGACAGCAACAAAATAAGAGGGTTAATTGAGGCATGTTAGTTTGTTTTTTATTCTTCAAGTTGACTGCAAAATTGCGTCATAATTGGCTTGCTTCATTTAGCAATTATGTAGACTCATAATTGGCGTGCATCACTTGAGAAATTTTGTAGACTCAAGGTTTTACTCATTCAGTTTTTTTTTCATGAAAAGTATTAAATGCTCTAACAACAAAAGAAGTGCATACATAGTTATAAATGCACAACTGATTGCACTTAGCTATATATGCACTTTTTGAGGTCTATTCAAGTTTCACAGTTTTAGAATGCTTATTATTTTTTATTTTGTCAGATATCAAACTCTTTCAACTTAACTAAATATGATAGCCCGAAAATTAAATTTGATGTTTCAGTTCACAGCATTGTTTTTTTTCAGATGATGTACTAAAGTTACTTGAGTATAAGGTAATTCAAGATATTTGTTCCATGACTCCGAGAGTTATTGTTGTAAGTTATCAGAAAAATGTCTGAACGGTGGGGTTAAAAAAATGCTAAAAACCAGTCACTTTTATTGTATACATTTTTATTGAAAGATTGTCACTGTGCCAAATTGTTGGCTTGCTTTTCAAGTTTTCGCTAATAATTTTAAAGCAATTTAGTTTTCGGAAAGAGACTTGACGATTGACGCAATTATATACTGCAAAAAAGTATTTTTCTGACTAGAAGAAATAAAGTTAGCTGCTGGGCTTTATTAGATTTATCAAATCCATTTGTTTCATTGAACCATTTTTTTCGGAAAAAATGGAAAAAATAGGCTTCGACGAAAATTGCAATCATTTTGTATCCGTTAGTGTATTCGATTTTTTTTGTCTAACAACAAAAGCTATCGTCGATTTGTCATGGGTTGTCCCTAACCATGGGATACCAAAAAAACGTAGTTTGGAAGGAGCAAATTCCATGCATCAATGAAATAATATTATAATTTTCACTACAGGACAGATATTCCAATACGCTGACGGAATAATTTATCTGATAGATGTAGTAAAATATTCAGGAAAACTTTTAATCAAAACTTTTTTCGCGATGAGTCGTTAAAATTTTCTTTTGTATGAAAGGCTAGTGTCCAAAAGACGACCCGGTTCTTTCTCGTGAACGCTCTTGTTCTAGGTCATTTACATTTTTGTTCCGAAGACCTAACCTCTGAAGGGGGAAGGAATTATGGCGCAGGGAGAATTTTCTTCCCGCTTTTGACTACTTCAGAGAAAGCTCGCTGGGAATCAAGTTTGGAACATTTTGACTGCCTCAAAAAAATTCGCTGGGGATCAACTGTGGTATCATTTCTAAAGCTCTAGTGGCCGTGATTTGATTCAGAAAATAGATTTTGAAAAAAAAAAAAGATTTCAGTGGAGAGAAAAAGTCTGAATTTTTTCCGTTTTCAATTTTCTATGTTAACATTTTCAACATTCTTTTAGCTATTATTTCGTAGCAAAAGAAGCATCTAGCAAAAAAATTTTCGGGAAATTTGGACGCAAAGTAACGTTAGGAAATTTCTAGCAAAGAAACGTTTCTAGCAAGGAAACTTCAGGAAGTTTGGACGAAATGACGGAAAAAAATCTTTATTTTTGAACTTCTTTTTAAGAGTCGATGATGAACGTAGTTCAGACTCTTAAATGGGTCGTGATGATTTTTTTTCTCGTTTTTTTTCATGAAAAGTATTAAATGCTCTAAACAACAAAAGAAGTGCATACCTAGTTATAAATGCACAACTGATTGCACTTAGCTATATATGCACTTTTTGAGGTCTATTCAAGTTCAATTGCTAGAAGGTAAACAAAACGCACACTCCAATTATGAAAGCTGAGATGGCGCAAAGCATGATCAATTTCTAGTTCTGAAAGTGGAATTTAATTTGTAGACTTCCCAGCGGAAATAAAATTTTTCTTAATAATCCAGTTTTTCCAAATTGGGTTAATTTTCTCAAAAAAGTGCCGGTCATAAATTGCTTTTGAAATTCAGAGAGCTTTAATGCCGTATATTTTTGTTTGAAATTTTTCTTTGCGTTCTTTGACTCTTTTCCAACTGTCTGTTGGCTATGTTCTTGAATCAGTGGTCGGAACATCCTGTGCTACTAGACCATTAACCGGCTGTTTTTTCAGAAAAATAGTGAAGCTAGTGAGCAGTTACATGACTGAGGATGCGATCTGTGGCTACATCAGTAACATTAGGGAGACATTCTGGCCCCAGGGACACCCTACTTCTCCGGGGGAACCCAAGTCCATCCAGGACAGGTATCGCACCAAGTTCCTCGCCAAGGTCAAACTCTATGGAAGCATATCAAGTGAGTCACTTTCAGAATTTTTTCCACTCGGATGAACTGTACGAAACAAGGAAGCTCAATTGAATTTGCTCAAGCTGGCTAACTTGACAAAAAGTGATTATGCTTAATCCAGTCTGAGATTTGCGCGTTTAAATTTCAGTCCTTTTTAACTAACCACCATCTTCTGTAAAAGCGAGATAAGTCTCAGTTGATTTTTGTATCTGAAATTTGCAACAAGATACAGACGACTAATTTTCTCTATGACGACTTATTTTAAAATTTATTTCACCATTTTTTGACGTCGAAAGTTTTTTTTGTGATCTATTGGCTGTTAGTCGAACAGATCTATTGGCAAAGAAATTTCGATATTGAAAAGAAAACTTTTTAGGCGAGATTAAGTCTCTACCCTTCCTTACTCAAGATGTCACCAGGCGTGGAATATTTCGACTGATCAAACTCTGTCAGGACGAACAACTGAACAGACGACTGGCCGTTACCATATTTGAAGAGCTTTTAATCGTCATTTTCCCTGACCTGAAGTTCGTCGACATCCTAGATAGAGTGTATCTAAGATCTACGAGAGTTAGATCTTTCATGCCTCAAAACTAAAATAGAACTGTAAAACTTTGACTATGATTTTTTTTCCAAATTAGAGTAATTGTGTTATTTCTATTTTGATTTCTGTAACCAAACATATCTCACGGTAGTGATATAGTTTAAAAAATTAAATTTGGATGAATATATTGATAAGAACTTTTTTTCCGAAAATTTGTAATTGGCCTGATGTATCAGCTCGTGATCATCGAGTCACGTTGGGTAGTTCAGTAGATATTTATGCCATATGTCACAACCAGTGTTTCTGATAAAAAAGAAAGAAAAGTTAAATTCAGCAAACCAGAGGCAGATTTAAATAAGCGTTAATTAATGCAGTGATTTTTCGCTTATTTGTCGAATGCCTCTTCGTTTGGCTAAAAGTGTTAAAGTATGCGCACGCTCAATTGTAAGTTTTTGTCTTTTTGACATGATTTAATTTGCAGTTCATACTTTAATTCAATGAACGAATGGAAACCGAGTTTTTGCTCTTAAACTAAAGAGCAAATTGGGTGAAAATCTGCCAGCCATAGCCGCCGGTAAAGAATAGTTTTTGTGGGTGAATCATTGGTTTTCCAAGGCTGTGTATGAAAGCTGTGTTCGGTCTGGTAATAACAATGGATGCTAAATTTCAAAACAACTGGGAAACAAAGGAAAAGCAAACAAAAACGCGCTTGATTTTGTTGCTAAGTTTGAAGACTAATTTTGTAGACTTCATTACAACATTTGAATGCAGATACTTCGAGAGAAAGACATAAATTCACAGAAAATGAATTTATGATGAATAGAAACGAGGACAATTAGCTTAGTTTGCATCAAGAATTAGTATTTATGTATCTATACTTACATTTAAGACATAGAAATCATAGCAGAGTCAACAATTGTCATGAACAGCGTCAACAATTGTCATGAAAAACATAAAATAATAAGAACTTGATTCTCAACTCGTTCGCATTTTTTGGCGCACTGAAAAAAGTGAGTTGAGAATTTCCGTTTTTTGCGCTCCTTGAACATTAAAAACGCACGACGCACTTCTGGCTGAAATGTCACACAAAATGAAGACCAATTTCTGTGGAATATCAATTTTTGTTCTACATTTTTTACGGTCAAATCATGTCTGCACTGCTTAGATGATAAAAATAAACGATGCTGAAACTGTAAAAGTTTTTGAAGCCGGCCGATGTTATTGTGCCACGAGGAGCAACTATACATCAAAAATGGTAAAAGAAAGGAACGCTAATGAGAAAGCTATATATCAAGCCTGTAAAAAATTATTGTAATTAAACATATAAGCAACAAATACAAAATAGTTATTACTTAGAGCAAAATGAAAAAAATATATTTTTATCTGAACAGTTATTGTACATGTACAAGCTCCGCACAAGTTTGGGTCGCGAAAAAAAAATCAACTTCAAACATAATTTGTTTCCCTAGCTTTACACATTTACATGCTTTGTTTACATTTACTTTGCCCATAAGCCAAATGAATTTCTCACTCCAGAAAAATTGCGGAACTACCAGTCATATTGCAATCAGTCACGGAGCAGCTTCAGGAAGCACATGTTGAGAAAACCCTTAAAAATGGGACCTATGCTTTATCTTGGTTTCAAAATTGGAGTTTTGACTTTAATTGAGGATTTCTTACTAGCTGAGCAAACATTGTGGATAACTTTGGTCAGTATTTTGTTTCATCAAAATTATTTCACAACTGATAAGAGCAGCACCGAGTGTGTTAAAGCATAATCAAGGCCAGGAAAAGTTAACAAAATCTTAAACTGGAGGGGATTCTGGCCACTTGCAACCTCTCAGAACGCTGATTCAGCCAATCTGGATTATTTTTTGGCATTCATTGGAAAACTATTCTTGACCAATTGTAAGTTTTTGTCTTTTTGACATGATTTAATTTGCAGTTCATACTTTAATTCAATGAACGAATGGAAACCGAGTTTTTGCTCTTAAACTAAAGAGCAAATTGGGTGAAAATCTGCCAGCCATAGCCGCCGGTAAAGAATAGTTTTTGTGGGTGAATCATTGGTTTTCCAAGGCTGTATATGAAAGCTGTGTTCGGTCTGGTAATAACAATGGATGCTAAATTTCAAAACAACTGGGAAACAAAGGAAAAGCAAACAAAAACGCGCTTGATTTTGTTGCTAAGTTTGAAGACTAATTTTGTAGACTTCATTACAACATTTGAATGCAGATACTTCGAGAGAAAGACATAAATTCACAGAAAATGAATTTATGATGAATAGAAACGAGGACAATTAGCTTAGTTTGCATCAAGAATTAGTATTTATGTATCTATACTTACATTTAAGACATAGAAATCATAGCAGAGTCAACAATTGTCATGAACAGCGTCAACAATTGTCATGAAAAACATAAAATAATAAGAACTTGATTCTCAACTCGTTCGCATTTTTTGGCGCACTGAAAAAAGTGAGTTGAGAATTTCCGTTTTTTGCGCTCCTTGAACATTAAAAACGCACGACGCACTTCTGGCTGAAATGTCACACAAAATGAAGACCAATTTCTGTGGAATATCAATTTTTGTTCTACATTTTTTACGGTCAAATCATGTCTGCACTGCTTAGATGATAAAAATAAACGATGCTGAAACTGTAAAAGTTTTTGAAGCCGGCCGATGTTATTGTGCCACGAGGAGCAACTATACATCAAAAATGGTAAAAGAAAGGAACGCTAATGAGAAAGCTATATATCAAGCCTGTAAAAAATTATTGTAATTAAACATATAAGCAACAAATACAAAATAGTTATTACTTAGAGCAAAATGAAAAAAATATATTTTTATCTGAACAGTTATTGTACATGTACAAGCTCCGCACAAGTTTGGGTCGCGAAAAAAAAATCAACTTCAAACATAATTTGTTTCCCTAGCTTTACACATTTACATGCTTTGTTTACATTTACTTTGCCCATAAGCCAAATGAATTTCTCACTCCAGAAAAATTGCGGAACTACCAGTCATATTGCAATCAGTCACGGAGCAGTTTCAGGAAGCACATGTTGAGAAAACCCTTAAAAATGGGACCTATGCTTTATCTTGGTTTCAAAATTGGAGTTTTGACTTTAATTGAGGATTTCTTACTAGCTGAGCAAACATTGTGGATAACTTTGGTCAGTATTTCGTTTCATCAAAATTATTTCACAACTGATAAGAGCAGCACCGAGTGTGTTAAAGCATAATCAAGGCCAGGAAAAGTTAACAAAATCTTAAACTGGAGGGGATTCTGGCCACTTGCAACCTCTCAGAACGCTGATTCAGCCAATCTGGATTATTTTTTGGCATTCATTGGAAAACTATTCTTGACCAAAAACTTAGAGGTATAAATTTTTTTTGTATGCTAATAAATGTCTCTTAAATGTAATGACTGTGAATAAAAAATATCAATAAATAGTTTTCTAACGTATTATTTTTTGTCAAAATGTTACCAAAATTATATTTTTCTTATTCGATTTACCGATGAAATTGAAAACCTATATTCAAAAAAGACCACATTTAAACAAATTTTTTATAGCTCTGCTACATAACGACTCATAAACATAAAATTATTGATATTGCTATTATTTTTGCATCAATATGAGCGTTCCGGTTAAGATTTCGAATGGGAGCAGTGGTGAAGTGGTTACGTCTCCGCCTCTCAATCGAAAGGTCGGATGTTCGGTGCCCACCATGATCCGTGCTCGTTGCTTGAGGGTGAAGCTTTATTACCTAGCTCAGAAAAACCAATAAATTGCATGTAGTTCTTAAGCAGGGGCACAACAGCGGTTCGCCGTGATGAGCTGTACAGCTCGTATGTTGGTCCTATCCCTCGTGGATGAATGATCTTAAAGAATAAAAAAGCTTAGTTTCTTTAATAGCTTCAATTAATTTGTCGAGTTAATTTGTCGGGATGGAAATCTGTAACGTTTTATTTGTTCAATTGTATAAAGCATCAACATCACTGCGTACAAAGTTTGCAAAAGGACACTTAATTTAAAAAATATCAGCGTAAAAGTGAAAGGCGAGCCCACATTGGCAAAACTAAGGTTGCAATCGATTAAAGTCGAATTTTATACAGATTTTTTTCTAGTAAAAAATTGATTGTATGTTACCCAAATAGACACAAAAATGGATAAATTAGGGATTTTGTACAGGTCAGAAAAATTGATTATGTAGTCTAAAAAAGGGATTTTTTTGCTGTATAAATTATGTTTTGAATCTGTATAGAATCTGTACAAAATTGATTATAAAGATGTAATGAATTTTCTAAAGACCCAAAAAAATAGATAATTTTGTCTAAAAAATGGATAACGTTGATTTTTGATTTTTTAACTCTTACTCTCAGAAGCTTGCTGTTTGGCTTGCATTCAAAACTATAAACAAAAGTTGATTTCAAACTAAACGACACCAATTATGGAAATCATCAATATAAACATGAGTGCGGTCACAAAACATGCAAAAAAGTCATGAAAATCATTAGTGGAACATAGATTGTTCCAAAATTCAAAGAATTTTCTTTAAGGCCATCTATTTCTTAAAAAAAAACAGTTCACGTTTTCTGTTTCTTTGCGTTCCGTGACTTTTTTCCAACTGCTTGTTGAATATTTTTTTTTGAAAAAAAAACTGACAGAATACGTGTGCTGGGTAGGG